ATCTTCATATTTTCCTGACTTATACAACCTTCAACTTTTGTTTCAACAAGTCTTCTGTCATCCGTTTTCTTGCTCTATAAATCTTTTCTTTTTTTTTCTAGTAACTCCCAACATAATAGCAATTGCTTGCAACCTTGTTGGGAGTGAATCCAAAAAAAAAAAAAATTAAGAAATTTTACTTAAAATAAATTTAACTTAATTAAATATTTTTATATTAGACTTTGAAGTAAGATTAAAACAACTTAATCTAACAATTTTAACTGAGTAAAAAATGATTTGATTAATTTTTAGCTTCACAGTGCTGTATCTATCAGTTACTTTTAGCGAAGCAGTGATATATTTACCAATTACTTTAAGCAGTGTATCCACTAATTACTTAAGAAGTGTTGAAAATTTTTTGTTTGAGAAAAAGCCAAAAGCTTTATTCAGTATGTGAATAAAGCTTTTGACTTAATTATTTTATTGAACCCTTTATTGTTTAAATAAAGGGTTCAATAAAATATATTTTTGTATTTGTATTGTATTTGATTAAAAATACTTTCTAATATTTGTATTTGATTTAAATGTGTTTGTAAGCATTTTGTTGGAATTTAAAAGTCTTTTAGTTTTTTCAAGGTAACAAATAATCTTTTTCAATTTGACACTAAAATTTGTTTACAAGGGATATTTGTTAAAAAACTTGTTTTCATTCTTCTATTTAGTATACCATTTTATCAACATTAATTTGAAAAAATTATTGCATTTTTTCTAAACAAAAATATTTGTATTTGCATTTGTATTTGAAAATGCCAATTACATATATTTATATTTAAACTTGTATTTGAAAATCTAGAATTAACTAATTTGTATTTGCATTTGATCAAATGTTTTTGACCCACCCTGATAAAGAAGACTTAAAAAGTTAGCACTCTAGGGTTTGTACATCAATACAATGCTTTCATAAGTGATGTTTGTATATGTGACCTTAGATGCCCAGTTTGAGGGTGAAATTTTTTATTAAAGGGAGGGGATAATGAGTAAGAAGAATATTAAATGAAAACATGAAAAGGTGATTTTTTCATTTTTTATTTTTTAATAGTAGATTTTAATCCCAAAATAAAAATTTCAAAATTAAAATCTACTTTGAAAAACTATTAAAAGATAAAAAATGAAAAAATCTCCTTTTCATGTTTTCATTTAATATTCTTCTTACTCCTTATCCCCCCCCCCCTTGCTTCCCCATTAAAACATAAATAAAACCATTTATTCTTTGATATATTTTTTATTTAAAACTTGACAACTTTTTAAACTTTTAAAAAGAATGATTTAAAATTAAGATTTTTTTGTGATATTAGATAAGATTTTTTTTCTCAAAACAGCTAGCTAAACTGCTAGTTTAAATACAAACACAAAATACAAAAAATTAATCAATATACAAAATACAAAAAATCAAATGGAATTTAATTTAAATTTCATCTAAATGCTAAATCTCTACTAAAAAAACTATACTTCTGATGTTTAGCACATTTTTTAGACACATCTGCTGTGACTATCAATTATTTATATAAAATATTTTTTATATAAATAATTGATTCATTTTTATGCAATTGTTTGCATAAAACTTAGAGATTTTACTATTTTATTAAAATTATATAAGAAAACTCATTTTTTTTAAAATATTTTAATTAGATTTAAGAAAAAAAAGGTTTTAGATATTTCCTTTAAAAATATATATATTGTCATATACCACAAGTCAACTTTTAAGCCAAATGAAAATTAAAGTTTGTTTGCAAATGGTAAAAGTCCTGGATTTATGACGCTTTCATATAAAACCAAATGCAAAACGACATTACATTTTTAGTTATAAAAACGGAGAGTCACAAGCTTGCCAAAAATGCTTATCTGAAAAGTCTCTAATATAATTAAGTGTAAAAATATAAACTGAAATAAAAAATTGCTGGAAAAGCTTATAAAAACCAGCGAATGATGTGGCACCAAGACACATACACTTGGTGATACATTATTCAAAGCATATACATTACATACATACTATTATTACATATAAAGCATATATATTATTATATACATATTATTCACATATTATTCATATTATTACACATAAAGCATATATATTATTATATACATATTATTCAGCATACTGAGTCATTTCCTGTTAATTAAGTGCATTACTATGAAGATGCATTTTACTATTTAGATGAATAACTCCATGTGAAAATTTTGCACATTTTATACAAACAACAATATCTACATAATCCGTTAATTTTTTTTCAAAATATTTCAGATTTTTGCCTATTTTTGGTAGATAGCAATTTGATGTCTGTGGACTGTGCAAAGAGTTACAAATAAAAATAAAAAAATCCACACAATAATGACAATCCAAAAAGATATACCAAGCAGATTTTAGGACAAAAAAATTCAAGCAATTAAATTTTACAAGATAATATAGTCGAAACTAAGTGCAAGAATGGTCAAATGTGTATGGGATTGCATTTGATTTTAAAAAAATTATGCTGCTTTCACTTATTCTTATCCAGAATTTTTTTTGTCAGCTATGGTTATATAAGTTTTGCATTTATAAACTTAAAACTAATAAATTAGAATTATATTTTTATTGTGAACGAGATGCAAACAAAGGTTTAAATGAAATATGTAATTTTGTGTTGGATTATAATAAAAAATATATTGGGAATGATGCCAAAGAACTGCACCTATTTTCAGATGATTGAACTGGTCAGAATTAGAATCATGAAACCGTACAAATTCTTTTATCCCTGGTAGCTAAGCTTGGTAACAAAATAAATGAAATAAATTACATATTGCATGCCCAAAAAAGCTTAAACATTTTTGTTTGAGAGAGCAAAGAGACATTAAAAAAAAAGAAAGAACTTATACTTAAACTCAGGGCTCAATTTCGACGGTCTGACATTAGACATTGTCTGGCTAAAACCTCAGATTGTCTGATCATATTAAAAAGTAATCAGACATTTTGACTGACGAGAATTGAGTTCTAAAAAATACTTTATTATTGAAATAACTAAAGAATAAACAAAATGATTCATTAAGAAAAAGAAAATAAATTAGCTTTAAAATAAGACTCAATAAACTTGAAATGAAAATTCATTTTTGTTACGTTTTTAACTGCATTTGAAAAAAAATACTTCAAAACTTTTAAAATATTTTAATAAAGTTTTGCAAAACACTTTTACAAATTACTTCTGTTGATTGTTTAATAAATGAACAAATTTTATTCAAATTATTAAAAAGTTAAATGAAACGAAAAAAATATAATATTTTTAATTTGTATAAACATTTTTTCAAAAAGTTACACTAATAAAATTGTTTAAAAAAATAAGGTTATCTTTTTAAAATAGCAATTTTTAATCATTTCATGCTTTGATTAGTAAGTCAAGTTTAAAAAAAAAACTTTTAAACAATTCTTTGCAAAAATAGAAATAAAAAAAAAAAACAAAAAAAAAAACAATTAAATCATAGGAAGACTTGATTTAACTTATTCATAATTTAAATTAACTTAAAAAAATAATCTTTTAAAAGATTTTTAGATAGATATAGAATAATAGTTTCAAGCACTTAAAATTATCATAAATTATACATACCTACTTAAAAAAATTTAAATATAACACCAGACCGTGGCGTTTGTTTTAAAAAATCATTATAAAAAAATTTTGATTTTATTTAAAGCCTTCATGTAAAATAAAAACTTTAAAAAAGAACAACAATTAAAACTTATTTATAACATAACTATTTTTATTATTGCATTTGAATTCTTAAAACATCAAAATAGCCATCATCAAAATGTAAAAAAAAAAAAAACTAAAAAATCTAAAAATCATCACTAAAATCTAAAAATCTACAATATTGAATTGAAACTTTTATAAATATATAAATCTGCAATGAAATATTCTATATTATAAGGAAAGTAACTTCACTAGACTAACATTAAATTAACTGAATAATATGACACAGATTTCGATTAGATAACTCAGTTCTGTAAACCGTAAAGATTATATTTCAAAAATTTGATCGGACACTGTCTGACCTAAACTTGATTGGACATTGTTCAGGACTTTATAAAAATTAAATTGAGCCCTACCAACTAAGTATAAAAGTCTAACAACTGAGAGAACTTTGAAGTAAAAAAGCTTAAAACTATATATATTATTGACATAATAAAATGACAGCCATAAAAAAAATAGAGTTATCTATAAATTCCTATTACAGAGGAATCTATAAATAGCACCATTATAATACCCAAGGACAAAAAAGTAATTTTTGGTATTTACTATAGTTATATTTTTGGGAATACCAAAACATAGAATTTGGTATTTCCATTCTCTAAAACCACACCTGGTTTAGTGACAATAAATAAATCCATAGATTGTTTAGTCAGTGATAATTTCCAGCTCTACAAAGTATAGGTACCAGATCATTCTAACCATTAAGTAATACTCTTACATATGCTGACAAAGTGCCAAAAAATATATTTAATATTCAATAGAAGAATGTAAAAACTTCTATAGAGGTTTTTTTTAAAAAAATAAAGTTGTCTTTTTAAAATAGTAATTTTTAATTCTTCATGCTTTGATTAGCAAGTCAAGTTTAAAATACTTCAACTTCAACAACCAACAATTTCAACAAACAATGAATACCAATAAATAAAAATAATTAACTAACAATTTTTCTTATAATCTTTAGATTTGTATGAACAAAAAAGAGTGCATTTCCAAAAAGGAATTAATATAGAGGTTTAAATTTAAAATATCTATATATAAATAAAAAAAATATATATATTTATATGAAAAATAAAATTTACAAATATTGTATACATTTTACATTTATCTACTCCTATATCTTAGACTTTTTATGTAAAATATATTTTTGTTGATACTGAAAAGTTTTAATGAACTTGTGTCCAGGGGTTCTCTCTTGGTGGCCCTGCTTGTGTCCTTTTCAAAATGATAAGTTTAATTTTAAGTATTTACCTGTTATAAGTACTTTATGAGGTTCATTTGCTTTTGTAGAAAAAAATTGTTTGCAAGATATTTTAGTAAATAATAAAGTTCTCAACATTTTGTAATTTTGTTTAGGGACAAAATATTGTTCCTTCTATATTGATGTTACGCTAAATACAAAACAAAATAATATAAAACAAAAAAACTTTTTTAATTATAAAAAATACTACAAAATTCTATTTTGTAGCATTTTTTGCCCTTGAAAATTTTAATTTATATTTGATCTACCAGCTATTTTTAAGCAACATACACACAACAATAAGTTAAAAAGTATCATTTCAAAAACAACAAAAACTTCTGCACAAAGAATTTGATGAAAAGAAGAAAAAAAAACTATAAAATTAAAAGTAGCATGACTATTGATGAGTGATGAGTTCACTTCTTAGTTTACTTCTTAGAGTTTACTTCTACCTTCTTTTTAGTGTGACTGCTCAATGACTTTACAAAAATATTCTGGAGTTTATAGTGAGAATTTTTAAAAACTATGACAAAAAAAAGTTTTTTCAATTCATTAATCATTTTTCATTAACTCTCTGATCTAACTCTAGGTCAACAATAGTTTCTAGATAGTCCACATTGATCAGATTAGATCATTAAACATATAAAATGATCTTCTATAACAAATTGAATGTTTAAATATTATAAATAGGTTTAATTTTTATGATTAAAATTGATCATAAACACATTATTAATTGGTTTATGGTTGTGTGTGTGTGTGGTTTTTTTATTTATTTATTTAGTACATTCTTTTTTCTAGAACAACCACACTCGTTTAATTATTTATATTGTCGTAGGTTTATATTATGGCTTAGCACTTGCATCTTAGGAAAAAGTTTAAATCTTATTCTGTTGTTATTTACTAACTAGTTATTCTGTGTTTGGTACTTAATTAATTTAATTAAAAACAAGAGTTGATTTGTTAATTGAATAAACAAATTTTAACTCTTTCAATTTTATTTAAATTAAATTAGCACAAAACACGGAATAAGAAATCAGTAACAAAATTAAAACGCAACTAAATAAGATTTAAGATAACATAGACCTATGAAAATATAAATAAATTAAACGTATTCAACGTGATTCAACTGTAATAAATAAAAATTAAATTATAAGAAATATTTCAAAAATAAAAGAGTTGATAATAATAAATTATATTATTTAATCCTTTTTCATTTTTTTACAAACTTTAACTGATAATTTTAGTTAAAATCACATAATTTATCTTGTCTGGTAAAACTGCATTGCATTAATTTATCCTTGATATCTTCGTTGATGAGCTCTAATAACAACTATCTGTAACTATAGCATACAAAATTATTATAAAAATTCAATGCATTATACACATTTTTCTTTTGACAAAAAGCAAAACAAATTTTTTCATCAATTGTTTCAATTTTTACAACATTTGAAAATATGATGTAAATTATATTGCGCATTGTTTATTTACGCTTGTAAAGCATACGCCATTGTCAGATAAAAGAGCTTTTTTAATAAGGCTGTCGAATAACATAACATAATCAAGTTAGTCTATTCTTTTCCGTATGCCTTTACATTTTTACATTTAAGTATTTTTTTTTTTAATGTATTCTTTTACTTTTACTTAAGTATTTATTTAAGTAAAGTATTGTACTTATTATTATTTAACTAAAGTATTGTACTTCGCTACATTTGAAAAAAATGTTTGAGCTTTAGCTTTTTAACTGCTTTAGCTTGGTTTCTTTCAATTTTTACGACCATAAAAAAAATTTATGTGTAAAAAAAATTTTATACAGAAAAGAGTAGACTACGTGATTTTTGTTTTTTTATTCGACAGCTTTGTTATTTGAAAAAGTAACGCAGTATTTTTTACTCTGAGTACATTTTTAATAAGCTACTTTTTACTTTTACTTAAGTAAACATTTCGACCGATATCTTTTACTTGTACTTGAGTAAAATTTCACTTAAGTAACAGTACTTTTACTTGAGTACAATTTTTTTTTTACTTTTTCCACCTTTGTATTTAACTAATATTTTTAATTGCGCGTTTATTAATACCATAGTCATAAGAATACATAGTCTGGAAACAGTAATAAGAATACGATTCTGGAAACTAAAAATTGTTTTTAGATTTAACCTGCTCATATTTAGAAAAAATGACAAGCATTTATGGTAAAAAGAGATTGGAATGTTTGTTAGATATGGCCAATGCATTGGCCATATCTAACAAATATATCATATCATAAACATTAGGCCGGGTGAATAATAATGAGCAATTGCTTTTTTTTATTTAGTAATTGGTCAGCTTCACGTGAACAAAAACTTTAGGAGTTTTGCTTAAATTTTTATTCGCATAAAGTTAAGCAATTTACTCAGTAATTGCTCAGCTCTATGGTTGGTTTCCATATAGTCGCACGACAGTCGTGCGACAACTGTCGCGCAACAGCTTATGCAATATTTGTCGCACGACGCAGCTGTTTCCATTAATTTTAGAAGCGTTTTTAAATTTTTGTTAAAACAACAAAAAAACAAAACAGTGGCTATGCTCCGCATGACCTAATTGGGAAAGGCCCAGCAATTATAGGGGCCTTTTTTAAAATTTTTAAGGGCTTATTTCAAAAATCAAGGAGCTTTTTCTTTAAATAACACATAGTAAAAGATTATTTTCAAATTTTTTTAGCTCTAATGACATGTTTTGGGAAGAGCCTCTGAATCACTAGCCACAACACTGGTTGTAAATTCTATATTTTTTTAATACGTTCATGCCTTAATAAAATATTATGAACCTGTAACTAAATTTATGAAACATACGTTTTTAAATAAAGTTTTTTTTTTAATTATCAAACTAAAAATATTTTTGTAAAATAAAAAATATTTCTCATAATTACTTTTATTAGTTTATGCCTATGTAAAAAGTACATAAAAAAATGTTACAAATACTGATTATGTATTAAAGACTGACATTATTTTATTTTTATAAATATTGTTCTATTATTTTATTTGTAGGAGTGTAGTTTTTACAAAAAATTATTTTAAAGTAACAAGTTAAAAATGTCTACTGCATAAAACTTAGATTCAACTTATTATTGTAAAGAAACAAGAATCCCAACACTTTTTTCTAGCAAAAAAATAAGATTTTTTTTTCTTCAGCTTTAATTCTTTCGGACAATATTTCTCTTAACTTTAACTAACTTGATTTGTATTTCAATTTAGTAATAGTTAAAAAAATATTTTGAAAAAATTAAATATATATATATATATATATATATATATATATATATATATATATATATATATATATATATATATATATATATATATATATATATATATATATATATATATATATATATATATATATATATATATATATATATATATAATAAGAATAAAGTAAAAAAGAAAACACAAATTTTGGATACACTCATTATTTAGAAATCATTGCGAAAAAGGAGCATTTAACACACTAATTCCTGAGCTATGCCTTCATGACAGATAATTTTTTTATAGATTTTACAGAATGTCTCCTGAAAGGTATAAACACTTGCTGTCAATGGTTGCACCTAGCATAACAAAAAAATCTTGTCAAAGCCGTCAAACTATATCACCTTCAGAACGATTGACTGTGACCCTGAGATGTTTGGCTACTGGGGATTCACAACAAACACAATCTTTTTATTTTAGACTGGACAGAACAACAGTATGCAACATAATCAATGAAACAACAAAGGCTATTTGGGATGTTTTGCAACCAAGTTATTTAAAGGCACCAGAAAGTTCAGATGAGTGGGAAAAAATAGCAAATGAATTTGAAAATGAGTGAAATTTTCCTAATTGCATTGGGACAATAGTCGGCAAACATGTATGCATTGAAGCTTCTGTTTTAAGTGGATCTGCTTACTACAACTACAAAAACTATCATAGTATGGTTTTGCAAGCCATATGTGATGCAAAATACTGCTTTACTTGGGTAGATATAGGTAGCTATGGTAGAGATAATGATGCATCTATATTTAATAAAAGTAAAATGGGTAAAGCTTTTAAATATAATTTGTTCAATCTTTCCAAGAACCAACAGCTATCAAATGGCACACAAGTACCACCAGTGCTAGTTAGTGATAATATTTTTGCGATAAAACCTTGGTTAATGAAACCTTTTTCAGGTTCGATTATCTAGGACTAGAAGAACAATTGAAAACTCCTTTGAAATTATGGTACCTAAATGGAGAATATTTAGATGTCCAATAAAAGCAACCCCTAAAAATATTTACAACATCATAAAAGCTGCAATTTGTTTACATAATTACTTAAAACTTAATGACAGCATTCACTATGTACCATCGGGATTTGCTGATTTAGGAACAAATTCTGGTTAACTTATTCCTGGAGACTAGAGAAAAATTGCGCTTGAAGGTAACGCTTTAAACATTTTACCTCGATGTATAAGCAATCGATACACAACAGATGCTAGCACTGTGAGAATAATGCTAACAGAATATTTTAATCATCCAAGTGGATAATTGTCATGGCAACATAATTATGTAACTAGTTGTGCACAATATAACAGGAAAGCAAATTTTTTTCCAATAGTGAAAAAAACACATTCTTTTGCTTTAATAATATATTGTTGTATTAATATATTAAATTACTATTTAAAAATTACATATGACAAAATGTTGAAATTTTTTAAAAGAATGTTAACAAATTATATTTCATGAAACAATATCTGGAAATTCCAGAGCAGCTAAATATTGCTGAATGTTTATTTTAGCAACTGCTTGAGTTTTAGGAGGTAATCTCTTTATTGTTGCACAAATAGATTTACAAAAATATGTAATGTCATCATTTTCTTCAAGTAACTAACTCCTAATGTTGCATTAATATTGCTCATAGTAGTGAGTATTGCATCTTCTAGTTTTGTATTTTTATCAGATCTTTTTGAATTTTTTTTTCTTATATTCATAGGAGATGTTATTTCATTTAAAGGTTTTTGTTGATTACTAGATGTACTTGGCCTTCATACATTAGACAAAGTTAACAGACTTGTATTGTCATTTAAAGTTTCTTTTTCTAATTCGTCCTGATTACTTAATTCTTCATCATAATTCATATTTTCATCACTTATACATGACAAAGGTAATTCTTCAACATTTTTTATTATATCTCTGTTATTGTTGTTTTGTATCTCTATTGCTGTTTTATCTCCAAGATTCGTCGTCGTTATTTCTCTATGATCAATGTACACATTTAACCATTGCAAAAAATCGTACTTTTTGCTGATATTGGTTCGTCCTGACCTGAAGGTGTACTTTTTTTTTCCTCGAAAAGCGACCATAAGCCGACCTAATATTTTTGTATTTCGATTCACACTCTTGGTCAGTTAAACCAAACGAAACTCTTATTGTTGCCCAAACGTTTTTTTTAATAACGTTGTTCTTAAATTCTGTATCAAATTTGTCATATAGTACAGGATATTTCTTTACTTCCTGCATGAAAACTCTCTTTACTAAAATCTTTCCTGATTATTTTCCCTTCTATTTTGATGTGAATTTTTTTTTTGTTTTAATTAATATTTCGTTTTCTAATATTCAACCAATCGCATTGTAGGGTCGTGCGACAATTGTCGTAGAGAATTTTCTATCTCTGCGACACCTATGGCACGACTATAAAACAGCCTTGCAAGACAAAACTTGTCGCACGACTTATGTTTCCATATGATTGCACAACTGTCGCACGACCATTTTAGATATTTGGAAACCAACCTTTACGTAAGTAAAAACTTAACTAAAATTTTAAGGTTTTTCTTCACATAAAGTTGACCAATTACTGAGTAAAAGTAATTGCTTTTTTTATTCACCCGGGCTATTATTATTTATTAATATAATAATAGATAACTATTATTAACTTTGCTGCAGGTATAAATTCCTTTGTTTCTGAAGTCAATAACAAGATATATGTCGAACAACATGTTTACATAATCAGTCTCTAAAGTAAACAAGACATTGCATCGAAACATATTTTTAAAAAATCTGACAAATAATCTATAAACATTAATAGGAGAATAAGTTTTTCTAAAAAATGTCACTGCTAAAACTAAAAAGCATAAATGAAGATTGTGCAAGTTTATTGGAAATAGAGGTGCATAGAGTATATCAATCAAGTGATATAGCTCTGTCATTTGATTGATATACTCAGACTCTTTTCAATACTATATATAAGAGAGAATTGTGGAATAAAAGAAATGTCGAAAAATTATATTTTACTTTTTTTTTTATAAACAAGTTTGCTATGATCCAGAATCAAGTAAAGTATGTTAGTTTTTTTATGCCAAAGGCATTACTGAAAAATAAAAAATGAGAAAGAGAATTCGCATTTCGCTTTTTTTGTTTTTTTTTTTTAATATTTTGCGTTCGTATTTCATAATAAAATCCATTACAACATGTAAAATCATAAACATGTAATACGATACCCAGACAGCATCGTGTGCTCCGGGCCAGTACTCTAACAAATCATCGCACGCCATTGCGGCTATATTAGTATCGATTCATTACTTTTTTTAACATTTTTTTATTTTTAATTTCATTATTTTTTAACTCACTTTTGTTTGGGAATAAATTTCGAAAATACTTATTTATTTTTTTCGATATAAGTTGGAATAAATTTCAAAAAGTACTTATTTGTTTGATTCATGCGGGATAATACATTTGTCCTAATGTATTAGTAAAAAGTAACGCTTTAGTAATGACACGCGACTACAAACAAATGTTGGAAAATGATCACGGATCAGTACTGGTAATAGATAATGGGCCAGTGCTGGCAAATGATCCCGGGCCAGTGCTGGCAAACGATCGCAGGCCAGTGCTAGCGAACGATTGCGGGCCAATGCTGGCCCATGGCAGCGGTCAGTACTGCCCCAATGGCCGTTTCGATCCAGGCCCGTCGAAACGGCCTGTATCGAAACAGCCGGATCGACAGCCGTCATCGCGCCGTAGTTGCAAGCGGAACTGGGCCAGCATTGGGTCGCTAGCGGGAGGCTGTCTGGGTACCGGAAAGAAAAAACTTATAAATATCCTCATTAAAAATTTTGAATTCTTAAGAGAATGAAATTTTTGTTTTTTATTTTTTAAGACTGGTTTGGTTTGAAAACATTTGTCCAGTCTTAAACTATTTATTTAAGACTGGATGAATTGTTTTCGTTTCGATAAATAGCTCCGAAACCATTGTAAAACTCTGCTATTTATTCCGGTAATTACTTATATTAGTTCTGTCACATTTAAAAATTAGAATAATTTTGGCAATTTTTAATCAATCAGGAAAAACTCCTTGATCAATATATGCTTTAAAAACTTTAAATAGAATAACTTTTAACTGTTCATAACACTCTATAATTGTGTTTCCATTAATTTCATCAGCTTCTATTACTTTGTTTTTCTAATGAAATTTGTTAGTTTTTTTAAAAATCTTCAAAGGATAAATCAGAAAAAAACTAATTAGAATAAATGCAATTTAAAATCACCAGAACCTTACTTAGTATCTTCTTAGTATCTACGGATGTAGGTTCTAAGAAGGTACTATATAAGGCTTTGGTGTTAGAAATCTTTTTATCAAGTTTTGGACCAATTTTGATAAAGAATTTGTTAAACTCTTGAGCTATCATACTATGCTCATATTAGGCTATAATACTAGACTCATATTATGTTTTTATTATCAAGTTTAATCATCTGGGGTAAATACTGACGTTATGGTTGTCATTTAAGTTAGGGTTACTTTTGTTTTTAATTATTACTTATTTATATTTGCGTTATATTGTCGATATTTTTTTAGCTGTATAATGAAATATTTTGAAATATACAAATATATCAGATGCATATATATAAATGTATCAGAAATAATCAGTTTTCAATGCATGAAGAGTCTTCCGTACTATTTTGCCAGATTATGTCTGATTTTAAATGACTTTATTGATCAAGAGAAAGTCGAGGAGATTTTATAATATTCTTCGATTTTTAAACGTTTTTTAAAACTTTATAAAAAGTTTTAAGAAATATTGGATTAAATGCAGACAAATTAAAAATTTGAACCACAAAAATAGTTAAGTAACAACAATGGCAACAAAAGAGTAAACAAACTTCGACTGAGGCTATAGCACTACTTTTAGATTATAGCTTAACTAAGAATTCTTATCAATACATTTGAAATATTACTTTAGAAAAACAAATTTGTATATACCTAGCATATCATAACGTCAGAGCTGCAAAAGAAGTATACTATCCTAATAACATATTCGTTAGTCATTATTCAGTTAATATTTCATTACAAGATCTGGATACCATACTTGTAACAGATTAGTGTATTTACAAAGAAAAGTTATTTTGCTTGTGAGTTTGATAAAACAACGCTATATTACAAATCTGGATTTGATGGCTCAACCAGTCAAAGTATTTATAAATAAAACTTATCAGTTAGCGGTTCTCATAATAATTTCAAATGAATATTATTTATTTTTGACTTGTTGTTCCTTTAGAGCTATTTTCAAGTATAGATAAAAATTTAAAGCCATCGTCAACCTTTTCTTGTCGAAATCTGAGTTTTGAGTTTAAAAAAGAAACTAAGTCTTTATTGATTGATAAAGAAAATAAACTTGTAAATGAAATGGCAAATTTGATTCCATCGTTGTTTTCGAAGGCTGAAAAATATCTATTACAAACGATATTGAAATCACTATGATTGATAGAAAGGTGCAATATTTATCCAACGCAACTGACTCTATTCAGTCATGTTCAGTATGTGGATTAACATATTAAAAATAAATGATATTGAAATTGTTATTTACAAAAAGCATTCCACTAACGGTCTACAGTATAGTTTTTTCAAGCTTGCATGCTTGTATAAGGTGCTTTAAATGTTTTTTTGCATATTGATAGTAGTTCAACCAAGCGCAGGTAGTAGTGGCAACGCTAACGGTGGTAATACAGCTAGGACAGCTTTTTTTAAAATATGAAGACGTATTTAGTGAAACAATAGGAATTAATAAAGTGCTAATTGAAAGATTGCATATTATACTTTAATGCATGTATATATATATATATATATATATATATATATATATATATATAATATATATATATATATATATATATATATATATATATATATACATATACAACCAGGAGCTTTGAGGAGGGGGGTAAGGGGAGTCCTACCCGTAAAAATGGCAGCAACAAGTTTACGTTGTATGTTTAATTAAAAGCATTTATTAATTTTTTTTTCCATACTTTCTACTTTGAAATATGTGAAAATTTATTTTTAAGCATTAATTTTAACATTTCTGTCTTTGTATGTAAGGTATGATATCATTAAAAATAATATGATTCATTTTTTAATATAATAATTTATACAAAGCTCTTTATAAGCATAAGAAAATAAATGGTAAACTCTGATCAGGGCCGGCGCGAGTAGGTGTCACGTGGGTGGTGCCATTACAACTTTTGCCGACTAAAAAAAAAAAGGTCCTCTTTTTTCTAAAATTTGCCGACTGTCATGACGACATTTGCCGACTGTCTAACCTATATGGAAAGGGTCCACATTTGCCAACTAACTAGGTCCAATTTGCCGACTAAGGGTCCAATTTGCCGACCCCCCCCCCCCCACACCCCTATCGCGCCGGCCTTGACTCTGATAACAAGCGCAAAGCGTTCAGCTTTGCACCTGTTATTACTTCCAATTATTAGTATACTAAAGTAAGATCGGAATTATATTTGAAGGATAAGGTCTAATATGAAGAAGAATACATAATAAGTCTTCTTCTATTATCATAAGAGTGATAACTTTTATAAACATTAACTAATTTTTATAAAAACTACGCTTAGTTATAGTATCTGCTTTTGTTTTTCAGAGCAATAATTATGAAAAGCAAGAGAAAATACATTGTTGCGTATGCAAAGCAGTTTTTAACAACGACTATAAAACCAGTCATGAAAGATCCGTTCATGGTGGTAAAAAGGTTCATATACAAACAGTGGTAGCCCCAGAGAATCCTTTTGTAGCAGAATTCTCTACGTACAGAATACTCTACTAATACTTTTTGTATGGTTTCCAGGCTGATCATACTAAATAAAAACATCTCGTTTATCTTTAGCTAGTGATGTAGCGATGAAATAAATTAAGTCAAATAAGGATAAAAAATTTCTAAAACTATCTCGACGTCGGAAAAATCTTCTAAATACTTAACTTTCGTCACAAAAATAATATTTAAAAAGAAAGCATAAATAAATCCAGTAAATATAATCTAATTCTCTCCCAGTTTAAGTCAGCTGTTGCATTTAGTTTTTTTTTAGAGATAACGATAGGTCGTCATCTTGCCCCATTTGCCATCTTACCTCATGTTGCCCTATCAACAATCAAACAAAATGGCTGAGAGACATGTACAAATAGAAAAAAAATTACTAATCAAAGCAAACAGATCAAATAAAGATCTGTACCTAGCTTTACTAGTGGTAAATATTTCTTCTGAAGATGGCTTTGCATCACCTGCCACTAATTTAAGTAAATCCAATTAATGTAAATGAAATTAAGAGCAATCGTGAAGCAATTCAAAATATAGAAAAGAAATAATACGACATAAACGCGAAGTATTACCACAAAAATACAAACACATTAGAAAACATAAGCGAGGGAAACATTGTAAACGACAATCAGGAAAAGTTATTGAGAGCTAACAACTACGAGTTCTTAATGTAAAAACCTTGAATGGAAATGTCATTTAGAAGAAGAAGAAGACATCTACTAAAAACAAAGGAAGAAGGAGTTAATTTATCAGACAAAGATAGCGATACTAATGAATGAAAAGACGTGTTCATGGGTAAAAAAAAACTGACGAAAAACACAAACAATGATTACAATACAAATAACAATGATAAAAATACAAATAACAATGAATCAACAAACTGCAACATTACTATCACAAGATCCGTAAGAATTTCGAGGAAGAATTTCCTTAACATTATATTGATTACGACATGCATTTTAAAAATGAGGAAGGTTTAACGATTGTTACGCAAACAATTCCCTCTAGACAATAATTTCTTACAACCGTTCAGAATAACGATTAGCGATTGCGGAATAAGTAATTTTAGAGTTACACGGAAAATGATTGCTGAAGTATTCCTAAAGAGACTAATTCCGCACGAGGAATTCTTACTTAAAAGCCGTAGGGCTAAAATAATAATGATGATAAAAATAGTTAAATATAAACATATAAAATATAAATAAAAAATATATTTAAAAGACTTGATTGCTTGAACCTGAATATTATAAAATTGAATTATCATATTATTATATTAAAAAATAACGTTCTTTGATGAAGAAACTTTTTTTAAAGTGACATGAAAAAATAAAATCTAAAAAGAATTCTAAAGATATTATTTATATTTTTTTACTTATTAGTTTATTTCTATAAAGAAGAAGATAATAAAAAGTTAACAAAAACTTCAGTTTCCCTGGAAATATGTCGATCGACATTAACTTATTGTTTTAAAATCAATAACTGATCGTATCAAAAATAAAATAAAAATTTTCAAAGATTTGACAGTTTAATTCTATTAGCAATGGTAAGTAAATATAAACAAAAAAAATGTTATACTGATGTTGTAAAAGTTATTATTAATAAAAAAGAAGTTACTGACCATTGTTAACAAAAATAATTTACAGAGACAAGAAATGATTTATGCGAAATTGCAATTGCTATCAATTTGTTTTGTTACAGGTAAACTCTTTTTAAAACATCACATTAAAATTTTATAAAATTTACAAGCGAAAATAAAAAAATATAAACAATTACAAGTGAAGATATTTAATATATATATAAAAAAAGAACGCGGAAACTCGTAGAAGACGTTTGAGTACCGCGGTAAAAAGTCGAGTACCGTGGTAAAAAGACGTTGTTACATTTTTACTAGTTAAATATTTTATGTAGTAAATAAAAAAGTGTTATGCAATAATAAAAAGATAAAAATAATTTTTTAAAAAAACTACAAAATAACAAAAAATTTCTTAAAGATAATTTGACAGATAGTGTAATAGCTATATAGGCTTGAAGATCGTAAATAATTGAGTAACAAATCATATTAAAAAAAAATCATACATTACAATCATATAAACCGATATAAATAATAGATAAAAGTTTTCGAAAACGGTTGCATCAAAAAATCATCATTTCGTAGATCGTATTTATTTTTTTGTTTTGTTATAAATATACAATGAAATGGAGTCGGGAATAATTTCGTTTTACATTTGTACATAAAACAAAGAATATTATATACGTTAAGTTGATATATGTTTAAAACATTCATTTTTCTTAAGAGAGGCTTTGAATGACTTTGTCTATCACAAGAATTAACTAAACGTGCTATATGTTTCTGATGACGATGAAGAGGACATATAGGGGCGTATGTAGCTTATAGGATTTCTATAAACTGCCCTCCCTAACCATAACCTTACCGCAGGTGCGCGTCCGGCTGCGCCTCTTCGTGCTAGCGGCCTTTAATATGCCCCATCGCGCTCTGCGCTGCGCTGGCCGGGCCACTGATGCTGCGCCGGGTGGTTTTTGGCGCTAAGCCCTCAAAATAAACCAATCCTATCCATTTGTTAATATCCGGACATACATGGAAACAACCAATTTAATTTTGGCGCTTGTTCTCAAAATCCACCTATCGGTATCGAACGCGAACGGAAAAGGAACAAGACCTGCGCTACGTTGAAAAAAGACAGGAAAACTCAACGAAACAGATAGAATTGAGTATTACTACCACATAGAACATCATTATACCAAGTAGAAGCTGTTTGGATGTATTATTGGTTATAATTGTATATAGAATATTTTGTTTTTAAAAAAGAGTTGTCTTCTTCACTATTGTAAATAAGTTTGTATATAAAGTCTTCTTATACGTAGAAATAGAAGTTTGTTTATTTGATTGTACATAGTGGTTTTACACCGTATAATGCCGCTGGACATTAGTGATACCGGCGCTACTGCAGTTTCTTCCCCCCCCCCCCCTATTTTTTATTGTTGATTATGATAGAGAATTTTATGCTGAATAAAAATCGTATAAAAACATAGGTCTGAAAATCAATAGAAAGTGCTCTAATTCAATCTTGAAGTTTAAAAAATTACACTAAAAAACGCTAATATTCGCCATTTTTTTTATTCTCGGTTATATTAAAATTCTTTTCAAAGATAATTTTAAAAAAGCGTGGTTTCTATCAACAATTTCGTGCAAAACTGTTAAATAACGCTCAGCGCATCATTTTCTGATTTATCCCTCGCCCAAACCCAAACCCTGTCCCAAATCATGTACGTTTAATCGCGCCAATACCTATTTGTCAGTCGATGTATGTGCATTTAGTTGTGCCAATCCCTATTTGTCAGTCGATATATGTGCATTTAGTTGTGCCAATTCCTATTTGTCAGTCGATGTATGTACATTCAATTGCCCAATCCCTATTTCTCAGTCGATTTATGTACATTTAAAAAGCAATGTTTAAATTTATTTCAAAAAAAATAATTAAAGTTATAAAATACATTCATAAAACATTTAATTCAGTTATAAATTAACTCTGATGACAATAAAAACCGGGTTGCGTAATTAAAAAAAGATTTTCTTAAAGATCGATTTTAAAATATTATCTTTGATGTAAAACGTATTTAAAAAATGGCGAATATTAGCGGTTTTTAGTGTAATTTTACAAACTTCAACATCAAATTAGAGGACTTTCTGTTAATTTTCAGACCTATATTTTTATACGATTTTTAATCAGCATAAAATTCTCTATCATAATCAACAATAAAAAATAGGGGGGGGGGGGGGGGGAGAAACTGCAGTAGCGCCGTGATACCGACGCTATGTTAGAGTGTAATATATCCAAAAGTATAAGAACTTTTTATTAATTAAATTCATTTTTTCTAACTGATTTTAGATTTATAAACCATTTGAATTTAGATCATAAAATAACAGATAATACACGAATAACAAACAAAACAAAAAACAAACATTTTTAAAAACATTTTTAGTAACTTAATGTGTCTTTTATATATGTTTTTTATTAAAGTTAATTATATAAAATAAAACAAAAAAAAACAAAAAAAAATATCATAATGTACAAATTGGCTAACAGTATATACAGAATATATATTTAAAGAATAAAATTTAAATTTATAAAGAAATAAAATAAACAGACAAACGTAATTACTCTTAATCAAAGGATTCAGAAAAATTTTAATTTGTTGTCATTTATTAAAAGCTTTTGCTTAAGTTTGTTTTTAAAATGTTTAATAGAAGAAATAGTTTTTAACTCATTCATTAGCGTGTTTCATAGTTTAGGACTTATGTTTGCAATTGAAAACTTAGTAACAGAGTAATAGGTTTAAGGTTGAATGTAATTGTTTTCTGAAAATCGTGTTGGGTATAGATGATTTATTATTTCCAAAAGTCAGTTAAATAAAATAGGTGATATTTTTTATTAACTTTAAACATAAAAACAAGAATTTGATAAAGATTTAGTTGAAATACGTTGAGAATATTAAATTTAATGAATGTGAGAAACGATTTAATGAATGTGAGAAACGATCTACATTTCCAATAATTCTTACAGCATGCTTTTGTTTAATTAGTAGTTTATTTATTTTAGTTGCATTAGTGCTACACCAGGCAACGTTTGCATAACTTAGGTAGCAATGAATGAAAAATAAATGTATTTTAAACAGGTTTGATTTAGCTTTGTAAAGTAGACCAATATTTTTTGAAATTTTATTGTGAATTATATTTATGTGCTCCTTCCAACTCACATTTTCATCAATAACAACACCAAGAATTAATAATACGGATGACTAAAGTCACCACAATCTTTTCATAGAGCCCCTATGTGGGCTTACAAGTTTAAAATAGAATAAGGTTGTTAAAAATACAATTCACAATTCCAATATAATAAAAAATTAAAAAATAAAAAAAAAAAGACAACTTTATTTTTCAAAAAAATTTCTAAGAATAATGGAATACGATGTTCATTTAGAAAAATTGCAAAATTATTTATAATGATTAAAAATTTAATTTTTTTTTAGAAACTTAAAGGAATTTAATGGTTTTACCGTATTTAAATGTTTGGTTTTTTGAAATGTGTTCCATAGTTTTGGTTCACCGTATGCTATTCCATATTCAGAATACTTGTTCCTAATTCTAGGCAATTATAAGTATTCCATTGGTTTATTCTAAGATAGTAATTATTATTAACATTTTTTGTAAATTTGTTTTTAAATAGTGTTGTGACCAAAACTAAAAATTGTAACTAACTAAACTAAAAATACCGTAACTAGAATTAGTCGACTAACTTTTTAGTTAACTAAAATTACGCGACTTACTTTTTAGTCAACTTAAATTACCCGACTAACTTTTAGTTAACTTAAATTAGACGACTATCTTTTTAGTTAACTAAAATCAGTCGACTAACTGTTTAGTTAACTAAAATTAACCGACTAAGCTTTTTGTTAACTAAATATAAGCGACTTTGTTTTTAGTCCAACTAAAGAATTTTATAAATATATAATATAAATAATTTGAGTTCATGATATCATTTCTATTAGAATTTTTGAATAAGATTGCGAATGCATAATCATTTTGTCGCATATTACCGCAAAAATAAAAAAAAATCAAAATAATTTTCTTTCAATTTTCAGTTCCAAAGGTTTAGTATCAGTGTATTAAGATACTTCAAAAAAATATTATAAATAAGATACTTCAAGAAAATTTTTCATAAAAAATCCAAAAAGTAAACATAGTAAAACACAAATATCTATAGAATTGAATAAGCTACCAAGGCCAACGCAAAGGGGTGTAAGGATGGGTTGGTTGGTTTCGTGTGTGACATCCCAATGAACTTTTAGCTCATTTAGTAAGCCAATTTGACTCTTTTAGATAAGTAAGTTGGCAAATGTAGATTTTCAGAACAGTTAGTTGGTAAATTTAAAAATAACAAGAATTTTTTTTTTCCTTTTTCTGGTAAAATTTTAACGGCACTCTCTACGTGTTACCTACTTGTGCCGGCCCTGTAAGCTACAGTATATTACAATAGTTTGGTTTTATTATTTATCACTTTTTTGGATCTAAATTATAAAAGTTTTCAATTCTTCTCAAATTAAAAAAATTTAAGTTATCATTTGACGATGAAAATGATATTTCCGGAAACGATAGTGACAAAATAATAAGTTTAGATTTAAAAAGAGAAATTAGTGGTTATATAAAATTGTCAGTAAATGAGCAAAATGTTTTTACACTTTTGGTATCAAAATTAACATGTATTTCCAATAATGTATTCTATTTCAACAATGATTTTATGTACGCCTGCTACCAGTGCACTAAGTGAACACCTTTTCTCTGAGGCATTGAACACTTATGCATGCAAAGCGAAATGTATGCAAAGCGAAACGTATGCAAAGCAAAACAGAATAACAACTGAATGTTTTCAAATATTGATGTTTTTGTACGAAAATTTGGAGTTTTTTAATTTAGTTTAAATTCATTAAATTTAATACTGAAGTTTTTTCTTGTAATAAATATTTTTTAATATATTTATTGTTCTAAAAGAAGTATTATTAAATTTAGTATTTGAACTCTTTTGTGTAAAACTGATTTTTTTTTTTTTTTTTGATACAAAAAATTAATATAGTTTTTTAAATTTAAAATGTGTTAAAAAAAAAGATAAAGAAAAAATTGAAAATTAAAAAATTAATGTGTGATTTTAATGTTCTTGAGCGTGCAGTTTTATTATAAAAGTGCTTAAAAACTACGTATTGCATTTTTCAAGTAATTAAAATGTCATAAACAATTTCCTGGTTTTAAAAGCGACCGCAGTTACTTAATAAAATGTTTTCGTTATTCAACAGTTAAGTATTATTTAATACATTTTATACACTATTCAACAACTTATATTGCGGATATTGCATTCAAAAATGCAAATACCAATTTTCCTTTAAAATTTTGCAACTATCGCCAACCAACGAACAACTATACTCTGAAAGCAAAAAAAATAAATTCATAATAACTTATTTAACAATTTCCTTTTGGGTTCATGTCAATACTTTCGCCTACCTTACTATAGTGTTTGCGCGTTGTAATAGCCGTTAGAAGAGGTTGATATTTGAAGAGGTGGGGAGGGGGAGTCATAGATTTGTTGTGAAAATTAGAGATTGAATCCATTCCTATAATATGGCAGGGGACAGGGCTGTACTGAACAACGAAGACGTAAGGGGAGGGGGTGCAAATGAAATAAGCTTTTTTACCATAAAAATCTCACCAAAGTTGGGCTTTTTTTTATTTAAAAGCCAAGTTGCAGTTTTAACCGACTGAGTCTCAAATTTTCTAAATTATCGACAAAACCGACAGAATGTTGTAACCCCAGGAAAGGTGCCCATACTCACGTCGGTACGGCCTCGGCAGGAGAGATTATTTTTGATTAGCGATTGTTATTGCACACTACCTATAGGAAGGAGCACATAAAAAATATAAGTTAAACGTTCATTAAGCGTACCAAATTTGATATAATTGACGAAAGGGCATTATTTGTATATTCCATGCTGATTGGATGTTTATAAACAGTTGCAACAACTTCATAGGCAGTTGTCTCAGAGCTGGGGAAAAATTAAAATAAACGAATTTTGCTTAAAACATTTCTTTTGAATAACAGTTTAGTTCGACTGGGCTCTAGGATTCTAAACTAGTATAGTGTTTAATTACGATAAAATAATATTTATCGCCTTAATATTGCTTCCTCGTGTGTAAAGTTTTTATGCGAAAGATTATTTCTTTTTTCAAACACTAAATCTTGCTTTAGTCGACTAAATTTAGTTACACTAAATATTTAGTCGACTAATTTGAGTTAACTAAAAAGTTAGTTGACTAATTTGAGTTAACTAAAAAGCTAGTCGACTAATTTGAGTTAGACTAAAAAGTTAGTCGCTTAATTTTAGTTAGCTAGAAAGTTAGTCGGGTAATTTTAGTTAACTAAAAAGTTAGTCAGGTAATTTTAGTTAACTAATAAGTTAGTCGACTAATTTTAGTTAACTAATAAGTTAGTTAACTAATTTTAGTTAGACTAAAAATTTAGTTAAGTATTTTTAGTTAGACTAAAACTAACCTTAACTCCCACCTCTATTTTTAAAGGTTTTCGGAATCAGGCTGTTATTATATTTATACATAAAAATTAAGTGTTGGTAATTATTAATTTCATATATACTCATCGTTTGCATGTCTTTCATTAGTGGTTTTGCATGTTCATATTTTTTTTTTCTTATATATTAGCCTGGATCCATGTTTTTGTAGAGAAAATATTTTTTTAAGTTTTGTTGGTTGAGTACTAGCCCATGTAATATTAGAATAGTAAATAAAATTTTTGAAAATACAGGAAGAACAGAGATAGGGCGATAGTTATTTACATTAGCTGCATCCCCTCCTTTGAGTATTAGCGTTACTTTGGTAATTTTAATCAGGGAAAACTCCTTGGCTAACGCAAGACGAAAAAATTTTGAATATTTTCAAAAAAATGATAAGAAATTATAACGACGTTTCCGTTGATACCGTCGAATCCAATTGTTTTATTTGGTTTAATCGTTTTGAAAGCAGTTTCAAATTCCTTAAAGGATATTTCAATGCAATTAAGATTTGTTGTTTTTTTGAGGTAAAAATTCATAACAACTACTAGTATAAGGAAAATGTTCTGCTAAATTAAAATGCCTATTTAGTTCAACTGCAATATCGCTTGAAGCATATAAAATTTCATCATTAACTTTAATACCGTTAGGCTATTTATTTAATTAATTTAATTTATTATTTATTTAATTAATTCAATTTATTATTTATTTAATTTTTTATTTATTTAACTAATTTAATTTATTATTTATTTAACTAATTTTATTTATTATTATTTAATTAATTTAGTTTATTATTTATTTATTTAATTTATCTTATTATTTATTTAATTAATTTAATTTATTATTTATTTAATTAATTTATTATTTATTTAATTAATTTAACTTATCATTTATTTAACTAATTTAATTTATTATTATTTAATCAATTCAGTTTATTATTTATTTAATTAATTTAATTTATTATTTATTTAATTAATTTATTATTTGTTTAATTAATTTAATTTACTTTTTATTTAATTAATTTAATTTATTTTTTATTTAAATAATTTAATTTATTATTTATTTAATTTAATTTATTATTTATTTGATTTAATTTATTATTTATTTAATTTAATTTATTATTTATTTAATTTGTTAATAATTTATCTCATACAATTTTGATATAGTTACAAATTTTTTCTTCTGGATTTTTTTTTTTAGGTTTTGCACCGTTTCCTCATCTTTGGTGGGACATTGAAAACTATCAAGAAAAAACAGTTTTCCTTAGAGGAGAAAGATCTGCATACGCAATTTTGTTAAATGGTTCAACTGTTACAACAGATTTGTCTGAATTAAGACAAGGTCATTTTCTTTATTTTAATGGCTCGAACGCAGGTTTTATTTTTAATACCTCATTATATCGTGATAAAATCACAAGCATATGTTTCTTAAAAAATAACATTTTATGCAGAGAGTTTACATTTGCTTTTTGGGTAAAATGGTCTAAATGGGGTGATACATTTGTAATAGCGTCGCCATCGCTAAGAATGCAATTTCTTGATGCAAGCAGTTTAGTTATCGAATTCATAACAGAAAATCAACAGTGGGGAATTTTTACCTTTTTAAAAGTTTCAGAAAAATGGGACTTTTATAGTATAACTTTCAATACAACTTGTCTACAACTAATTGTCAACGCCGTTGATAATCAGACATCTTGTCAAGCATACAATGCCTCTTTGACAAACAGTTTTACTGAAGATATATTAGCAATTGGTTTACCATTAAAAAATGATCATGACCGTGATGCTGAAATGTATATAGACGACATTATGATTTGGAATAGAGCGTTAACGATTTACGAAATAGAGAGCGCTTTTAGTTTTGGTATATACTTTAAAAACCTGTTTTTTTTTTAAAGTTTTTTAAATTTTTTTATACATTTTTAATTTCTGTTTATTTTTTTTATTCTCTTTACTTAGTGAGTAAAATAAAAAAGTTAATATATTAATTAAGTTAAATTGAATTGAAATTAATATATTAATATAATAAAAAAATATATCATAAAACAAGTCAGGTGCAAATCTAGGAATAAAATGAGGAGGGTGAATCCTAAAGAACAGCAACAACTTTATTTAAAAAAGTCAACTAATCGACTATATTTCTGAAAAACCAACAACAAATTGAAAATCGTCTTCTTTAGTGGGTTTTGTACCCCTGACCCCCTCCCCTTCTTTCACTCTGTAAAATCTAACCTGAATCGAGTGAAGAAAATTGATTATTTTTTCTAAACGTTTTAAAATGAATTTTTAAATCTGTTAATAAACTAGCTATTTTTAGACAAATGTTTTCGTTTCACATTCGAATAATGAAGAAGAATTTTCCATTTAAATTTTAATCTATTAAAAACCTACACCGATATTTAAGATTTAGCAAGATTAATTTTTAGTTTTACTTGGTAAAAATTAAAAAGTTTTACTTAGATAAAAAAGTAAAGATTAAAAGTTTTACTTGGTAAAAGATTAAAAAGCATTTTTAAGGTTTAATAAAAATTAAAGTAGAATTAAAAAAGTTACTTGAATCAGATAAAAACAAATATTTAATTTTTTTATTTTCTATCATCCTTCTGATTGTCGAACCTTGCGTTATATCTATCATTTGTTATCTCTCAGTTTATTCACTTTTTTCCCGTTATTGTGTTATTTGTCTTTTTAAATATTATCGTTCTTCTTTTTACTTTGTTTTATTTTATTTTGGTTGCTATCTATATTACTTTTTTTTTGCTTTATTTGTTTCTTTTATAATACACCAATGACTAGTTTTTAACCACCAAACCTAATTTTGTAAAATTATATATAACTTATTAATTTTCTCAATTTTATGATTAAATAAATTTATAATAATTTATCCATCTAATTAATCAAAAAATAATTTCAATTTTATGACTTTTAAAATAAAAAATCAATTACACATTACAGTAGAAGGTTTATTTTTTTGTTGATAGTACAATCTTTTTTTGATTTGATAGATGTTTTTTTTTATTTGTCGACTTTGTAAGTAGTTAGTATATTAAATAAATTTTTATAAACTTTTTATAAACTTTTAATTAACTTTTCGATAAGTTTGAGTAGGTAGTTAATCAATAAGTATAACTTAGTAAACTGAATTTATAGCATAATTAGTGAATAAGTAATTTATAAGTTGTATTGACAAAAAAAAAGTTGTGGTTTGTTAATGGATTGATTTATGTTTATTTTTCTTTATTAAGATTTATTTCCTTTGTTAGATTTTAAAGATGTTAAGGTACAAGGTGGCTGTTCAACAACTATTCACAATAAAGACCGTTATCTTGATGGATACGTTATTCAAGAAACAAAGTTGAACTCAATAGAAGAATGTTTATCGTTTTGTTTAGAAAATGGATACTGCCAATCTTTTAACTTTGAATACAAGGGAATTGAAAAAAAAAAGAAATGCGTTATAAATTCTTCTCGGAATCATGACGCACCTTGGAATTTAATAAAAATAGACGGTTATTTTTATTATGATATTGAGTAATTTTTTTTTGTAAATATTGTTTATTACATAAATGCTTGATAGTATACTAACACTCTCTTACTGCGTTACGACTTCCTTTGTTTAGTAAACAGTTTTATTTTACTTTATTTAGTGAACTGGATTATATGGATTCAGTTACTTGCAAAATAAGTATTTAAATCAGCTTAAAACAAATTTCATATTTCAAATTAAATCAAATTAAGTATACTTCAAAATAAGATGTAATAAGCCCAGTAAGCACAGAACGTTTTTAAAACGTTTAAAAAACCTATGAAAACGTTTTTTAACGTTTTTTAAACGTTTTAAAAACGATCTGTGCTTACTGGGAGATTTATTTAACAACAAAAGCGGGTGGATAAGAAGAGTGAGACGTAGCGATAAGAGAAAGAGATAAGCCTATACACAAATAAAATATAAATAAATATAAAGCTGATATTTATGAAGCAACACTCTCAAAAAATACCACAATGATGTTTAAGGCTAAACCTTTTCTGAATGAAAAAACCTTTTTTTCCCTGAAAAAATTATAGTTTGCCTTAATTTATAGTTATTTTTTGTATTCTAATTTTGTAAGGGCTAGTACTGGCTGTTCAAAACTTAAGAAAATCTGCAAAAAACCAAAACATGAAGAATAGTGTTTGGAGCCTATAGAAATGCTCCTTGCAAACCACTTTTACGTGCGCTCAGTGCTTTAAATGTGTATAAACTCAATTTACACCAAGTTTTATTGTTTATGTTTAAATCAAAAATGGGATTATCCTCAAAAAAATTTCAAATTTATTTTCATAAAATTAGTCATAAATATTCAACAAAGTTTTAAGATAACAACTTTGTTCTTTTTAAATATAATTTTCCCTTGAATACTCGCTATGAATCAAAGTCTTTATAATCATATTTATAATGTGGTTGTATAAATAGCATTTAGATTTTGGCCCTTAAGAACTAAATTTTGCCCCAGGACCCTAAACCATCTCTTGGAGCGGCCCGGTACAAAAATATTTATGAAAGTTATAGGCATCAAGTAAACAAAAGAAAAAATAAGTAATTTATGAAATACATAACCGAAAATTTAAATAAGTATAAATTTTTTTTTTTGTAGTTATTAAGGTGCAGAAATCCGTACAATCTTATCACAGAGCACCGTGGAAGAGCATAAATACTGCTAAACATGCTATGAATCTTATCACAGAGCACCGTGGAAGAGCATAAATACTGCTAAACATGCTATGAATTAGAAAAAACCTAAAGAGAGTAAACAAAAGACTAGGTAGTAGTTTTAATAGGACATACTATTGTTATTAAATGAACAAACAAAAATTAAAGGTTAAAAAGATTAATGGAATGAAAAGTTTAGATTTTTAATCGACTAAATCAACTTTTACTCAATTAGTCAATAGTCGATTAAATGGACTATACAATTTTTCAAAGTCGACTTTCGTCTAGTCGACTTTTAAAAATTGTATAGTCCATTTAGTCAATTTAGTCAAAGTCGACACTAATTTAAACACTGTAAAAAAATGTTTATCTATCGGATGTTTAACTATAGGAAACCTGCAACTATAGGATAACTGCAACAATATATTTTACTTCGTTAATATATCTTACAATATACTTTACTTTGTAAAATTGTCTTTTTCTAGTTTTCAATTTGTTTATAGAGGAACGACGATTCCGAGGGGGCATTTTCATGATTATTAATTTGTATTTTTAATTTTCATTAATATTTTTTTATGATTATTAATTTTTATTTTAATAAAAAGAAAACATGATATAAAAAAATCTTGCTACAAGTAGCGCAACTGCAACTGAAATTTGTCAATCTGATGATCATGACCAAGCAACAGGGATATTAGACAACTCAACAACAAAAATAAATTATGAACTAGAACTTTAAGATGAACCAGTTTTAGTAGAAGGTCTAGCAGAAAAGGTTAAAGTGAAAATGCAATGTGATAAACTTGCAGATCTAGGTACAAAGTTTACTGATGATGTAGGAATGTAGAAAGTTACTGGTATTTGACGCAACTACTTCTGTTTCAAAGAAATTGCCAGTTGTCAATTCATGGAATGCACGTAAATAGGTATATTTCCAGGTGATTCATTTAAACGACGATGTTTAAAACCTGTTTTTTTTTCAAGAGCAACTAAACGGTGAGAAAGTTCAGCGTGATTGGTTTATTATCCTTCAAAAGTATTCTGTGCAAATAATACCTTATTTGCAAAAGCCAAAGAAACGTCGTTGTTAGCAACTAGTGGTTATAACAACTGGAAGAATGTAGTTAGGGATTTATTTCGCCTTGAAGTCACCACTATGCACAGAAATAGAATTGAAAAAGTTTATTATAAAAAAACTACAGGGAAGCAAATAGATAAAGGTCTTGTAGAACAATTCATGTCACTATTGACATCAACTTTCCAAACATAACTCTAATCCAATTTTTGTCAGCGAGAGGTCTTGCTTTTCTTCAAAATGACAAAATTATTGAATTTATGAACAATGGAAATTATTTAGGATGTTTGAAGTTACTTTTTGAAAATGATCCGTTTCTTTCAAAACATATTCAACAACGCACTAACAAAGGTAGAGGCCACATGCCATATTTATCATTAATAAATTTATTTTAATTACGAATCAGTCAGTTAGTGAGACAGGTCATACAAAAAATAAAAGATAAAAAGTATTATTCTGTCTCAATAGACCCAACACCGGATGTTTCGCATTTAGACCAGTTAACATTGATAATTCAATATGCAATAGCAAGTAGACCAATTGAAAGTTTCATTAAATTTATTTCTATATTTAAGCATATTGGTGAGAGCTAGGCAAAAAAAGGTAGGCATTTTTATAAGAGAATGTCATAAACATTGAAATCTATATAGGATTATCGAATAACAGTACATCATGCAAGCCTGGATTCGCAAAGAAAACAGGTTAGCTGAATACATTCCATGTTGTGGACATTCTTTAAATCTTTTCCGTCAAAATGCTGTCATTGGCTGTCCAGTTGCAGTTCATATCTTTGATTTCGTTCAAAAACGTTTTGTATTTTTTTTTCTGCTTCAACACACCAATGGAATCAACTTTTAACTAGTTTTTCTCCTTTACAAATACCTACATTAAAACGACTTTCGAATACATGTTGGCATGCTCACCACGATGCAGTTGATGTGCGGCAGAAAATATATAAAGCAATTTAACAGATTTAAGGATGTCTAAATCAACAACTGAAAAAGCTGATACGCGATTGGAAGCAAAAGAACTTAATGCAAGTACGAATAAATTAGAGACTGGACTAATGTTCCAGGTATGATCTCTTGTTTTAGAAAGGTTTGACAAAACAAAAAAGTGTCTTCAAAATTTAAAACTAGCAGAAGTAAATAATGCCAACGCTGGATTGACGTCTTCACTGTATATAACTATCGAAATATAGTAGAGCACATAACATCATAAATTCACATTTTGAGCATCTAAAATTCACATCTGATTTTAGAAAATCTTTTGTTTTCTAGTTTTTCTAATTTTGCTCAACTTTTTTATGATGTTGTGCCCTCTACAGTTTAACTGTAATGCATTAATTCTGTTTTTAAAAAAAGTTGTATGAAACTATTTCGTGTTAGGGGCCATCCATAAAGGACGTAACCAATTTTTAGCCAATTGTTGACCCCTCCCCCCCTTTTGTCACCGGTTGTCCTTTTTCCCTAAACCCCCCTGATAAAGGACGTCATAAAATCCTAGCCCCCTTATTATTAACTCCAAAAAAATTTATTTCATCTTGCCATGATATTTGAATTTGCTGCTACACCTTTAAAAAATAAAATTAAAAATATTCTCATACATTATCTTCTCAAAAACACATGTTTACGTAATTTTCCATGTTAATTAAACTAATATAAAAAATTTATAAAGTGACGTCCTTTTCTGACAACCTACCCCCCTCGCCTTTTCTTTTTTGTCCTTTTTAACTCGACCCCCTCTCCCCCTTATTTGGATGACGTCCTTTATGGATGGCTCCTTAGGAGAGATTGCTAATAACTGATTTACAGTGCCTTCGCCACAGCAAGTGGTACTTTTTTTTTTTCTTTTTTCTTTTGTCTCCAATTGTAATTAATGTTTCATTATATCTAGAGAAAAGTTTAGCAAAAATTAATCTTTAAAGTATCTTTAATATTTTTCTTTAAACGTATTCAAATCCATTTAAAGAAACTGTCCTTTTTCAAATTTGCAGGTGTAAGCAAAGAACTTTTATACCATTCCCGAGCCGTGGGAGGAGGGGGATTTGTTGGGTATGATCAATCCCCCTTTTTTACCAAGTTCTCTTTGTTTCAAGCTGGTTTTGTTATAAAAAACCAGGCAAAATTTTTATTTGTTTTACTAAAGTGCTTTTTTGTTTCAAAAATAACCCTCATCCCTAAAAATTTACACATTACGAGCCTGAATACAATTTAATTTAAGCATATGTTTAGTAAATTTATTAAAGCTCGGTGACAAATTGTTATGCTGACTCCATTACATACCCAACTTATAAAAAAAAGGATTAAATGTTTCATTTTTATTGGGCTCTAACAATATTTTAACTGAATTGCAATACTTTTTTATTGTTCTCTGTAATATTTTTTATTGTATTCTGCAATTTAGCTAAAAAATTGGCGGTAAAGTATGTAAACAGATATAATAATATAGTGTCTGTTTGCAAACTTGACCGTTACATACCTTAATATGTATCTTAAATGTTCATTGTTATTAAACATTTAAGATATATTTTAATTTTTTTTTTAAATTTTGCTGATTAATTCAAAAGTACAATACGATTAATAAATGTAAATTAATAAATAGTAACTTTGATGCGCAACATTATTGTGTATAGAGTCTAACAATAGTAGATGTCATACAGTTTTTCTGATGTATACATTTAAATTCATCAAATTAGATTTTAACATTGTTTATATCTTTTGTTTTTACAAATTTTTGTAGCAGATTGTTCTGATTTTTTACTATTTATTTATGAAAAAACCGTGTTGACCATTAGTTTTTGTTTTGTTGTCTATGTTTTTTATTCGTGGCCTATAGAATTAGTGTTTTCTGTCAACAATATTTGAAGAAACTTTAATCCTCCTATATATGGAGAATTGTACCAATAAATTATATCTAAGTTATTGATAAGTCTATATAATTATATTATAGCTTAATCTTTTGTTTTTCAGTGTATAAAGAATAATTTTATTCAATCTGTGATAAACCTTCCAATTTGTGGATCAAGTTTCTTTATGTTCGACTTTCATAATAATATGTTTTAGTAATGCGAATTCCTTATCAAGATGCATATTCAACATAAGGTCTAACTAAGAATGTAAGTTGCAATCTTATATTTCGAAATTCTAAGTTTTTAAATGACTGATATAATTTTGAGTTTCATGAGACTGTATAATTTATGTAGTAACTTTATTTTAAGCTATTTGGTTCATACACACCAAGATTTTATTAACATAATTATAAAAAAGTACTAATTTTCAGGTTTATTTTTTCCAATTTGCACTTTGCACTTGTCGTTTTCTAATTTTATTAACAATTTATTTGGCTATTTATATGATTTAATATAGATAAGGTTTTGTATCATCCACATATTGTTTGCATTAGTTATTATTTTTTACATCATTTATGCATATAGCAAATAATAAGGATCCAAGTACTGATCATCGAGGAACTTTAAACATCTATCCATTTAGATTTTCCTAGTGCTACTCCTTGTAATTATTTTTTAATAGAAAGTTATCATAAGTCAAGTTCTCTATTTACTAAAAATATTATTAAATTACCTAAAAAGGTTAATAAAAAAACTATTGTTACTACAAAATTGTTTTAATCTAGCCTTCAAAATTTTTGTGTCTTTCGAAGTAATTTTTTATCTGTTGAATCTTACCTCTTGCAAAATTCACCAGACCTACTTGCACTTTTTAAGGCTAATTTAAATTTGGCTGTTTTATCTTCACATCTTTTTTATCACATTTTATCACATTTTTTTTTAATGTTGTTTTTGACCAACACCTTTCTCTTTATCCCTTAGCCAATGTTGTTGTTGTGGACTTTAATGCTAATCACACTGAATAGTTTAACATAAGTAGCACTTTGTCTTTCTTTCAATCAGTCTCAATCATCAACTTAGATAGTTAACTTTGTGACATTAGAAGTGAAGCTAAGTGATTAGAATTTTTCCAGAAAATCCTTATCACTTAGCTTCACTTTTTTATTTGTTTCTTGTTCCTTAGCCTACTTGTACAAAGTTTCTCCTCTTTAAGTTTAGATTATGCTATAATCTTACTAAAACTTTTAAAAATCTTATATTTCCTCTTCATCTATTTACCCTATTATTACATATTCACATATGTTCACCTTATTTTCTATGTCAATTCAGCCTAGTTTCTCTAACCTCAAGGTAGACAACCATTACAAAAAAAAAATCAAAATGACCATTACAAAGAAAATCTCCAAAATAATCCAAGAGGATTAATTAGGTGATTTTTTTTGTAATGGTTCTTAGGCTGATGTTTTTTCTCTCTTTTTAAAAATCAACCCTTTCTGTTCTTTTTTCTTGTTTTTTTTTTTTTGTGTAACTGCAATTCCTATTCATAATTATTTTTATATTCTTTTTCACAAGAACAACTCTTTAGATGTATCTTATTATTGCTGGAAATAAATGCATAAAAGTCCAAGATCTATTAATGTTATATTATGTCAGAAATTAGGCTCTAGAGACAAAATTCTTTAACTCTGTCTTTTTTAATAAAGGCAATTCTAACATTTCACTTCATATACATGGATCACATACATGATCTAATTACTCATCTTAAGAATAAAGTTATTTACATGTAACATTTCCTCTAACTTATCTCCTAAATCTTATGGCTACACTTTTCTTGTTATTCCAGAAACAAGGTTAATTTAATCTTAGACATCTTGTTTGCAGCTTGTGATCCAGATAACATTACAACTGTTACAGTTATTCAAAAGTGTTCTCTGAAATTCTCTTTAATTTTTGTTCCTTCTGAAAATAGCATTTGTGTTTCCAATATTTTCAAAAATAAAAGATTTTATTAAAAAAAAAAAAAACCTATAACTTATTATAACCTATATCACCCAATCAGTTTTCTTACTACTATTATCAAAATTTTTGAATCCTTAATTAACAAACATCTAATATCTCACCTTAAGTCCATCAAATAACTCTAACAATAGATACAGGTTTCAATCTTTTTTTCTCCTGCTGACTTTTTTTATTATGGATTATATGGAAGTGGTGAGTCTGGCATGCTGGTTTTACACTTAACCTTCCTTATTGCAGGGTGGCCAGCAACCTGGAAAACCTGGAAAAGTCAGGGAAATTCTAAACAAAATATTTATATTTTATTGTGTATTAGAAACTAAAAATCTTACATTTTATATGCTATATAATTATTTTGTATAACTTTATTATTATTCTTTTTCACATTTTGGTTCTTACTTTTCAAAAATATTTTGTCAATATTATGTAAAGATCAAACAGGAAAGCAATTTGTTGCAGTCCCTTTTTTCACTTATTTCAATGCTTGATGAGGCACTTAACAGAGTAATGCAACAAAGCCAAATGGATATGTGTGTGCTTTTGGGATATAGAGAAATTTAAAGCTATTACTCGTTATTTTTCATCTGCTTTTTTAGGGCATGCAACTGCTAGTTATCTAAAAGGCAGCTTTAATGCAGTGAATGGAGACATGTTATTGCCAAAATTAATTCAAGTTTCTATGGATGGACCCAGTGTAAACTGAAATTTTTTTATGCTTTAGAAGAAAGTCATTCATCAAAATTTGATATTCAGTTAATTAACATCGCCTCCATGTAGTTTATAGTGCATTTCAGAAGGGGCACAAAGAAGCTGGTTGGAAAGTTAATTCAGTATTAAGTTCCTTATATAGACTTTTTAAAGATTGTCCTGCTCGCAGAGCAGGCTATTTAGCATTAAACGGTGGTAAAGCAAAATTTCCTTTAAAATTTTGTATGACTGAGAGAGTTGCAGAGAGAGCTCTTGAAAATTTTAACAACGTGAAAACTTACGTAGAAAGGTCAAAATTACCAATGACTATTGCTGCACAGAATGTTATTGAAGCTATCAAGGATCCTCTAATCAAAGCTAAAATCAGTTTTTTTTTGTCTGTTGCCAATGTAGTAGAACCATTTCTTATGCAATTTCAGTCACCAAGTCCTTTAGTTCCTTTCCTATATGATGAGTTATATCATCTGATGTCATACCTCATGGACAGATTTATCAAAAAAGATGTTTTCACAAAAGCTGATTCATTACAAAAGTTGTGGAAGATAGATCTGCAGAATGAAAAGTGCAATTGGAGAGATGTGGTAATTGGTGTTGGAGCTTTTTTTGAGTTACAGAATTGTAAAACTGTTAGTAGTCAAAAAATTAAATTTCGAGAAGAATGCATTGGCTTTTTAATTGCTGTAGTCACTAAATTAAAAGAGCATTCTCCACTTAAATACAAGGCTACTGGGCATTTATCATCATTTTCACCAAAGGTTATCATCAGGTCACCTGACAAAGCAAAGATATGTTTCGATTCTCTAGCATCATTTCTGCATGAATCTGGGCTAATAAAATCAGTCCTAGCTGATCAAGCTATGAGTCAGTATTCTCGCCTATGCAATTTGGCATCATTAAAAATGGAGATTTTTGAAAATTTTGATTTCACTAAGCAATGTTTAGATGACTTTTACTATGAACTAATTGGAGAAGATATGCAATTGAAAAGATATTGCAAATGATTCTTGGTTGCAAAATAGTAACATTTGTGTAGACATTGTGTAGAATTTTCAGAATTTTCATTTGTGTAGAATTTTCAGCTCATTTTTTAACTTTATACTTTATTTTATTATTATTATTTTTGTTTCAAAGTGTTTATTTATATAAAGTAAAGAGTTTTTAAGAAAACTTCGATTATTTGTGTAAAGTTATGTGTTTTATTTGTTGCCTTTTAATTGCTACATTTGTTAAATTTATATCGGTAAGTCAGGGAAATTTCATTGTAGTCAGCGAAAAGTCAGGGAAAATGAAATCAAAAATTGCTTGTATTGTGTATTTAAAAAAAATTATTTCTTTCTAATGGAAGTATTAAAGTTAATATCCCCAAAAGTTAATATACATCCCCAAAAGAAGGAGAGTAATATCCTTGAAGGATTTTACTCTCGTTCATTACAAGTAATTTTTGGGGTATGTCAAGGTTTCAACTTTGGTCCTGCGTTGTTTCTTGTTTATATTATTAATTTTCCTGGTAATCTTACTTCTAAAGTTGCTCTATTTGCTGACAATGCTGTATAATCCAGTTTTGTGTTATCACTTTTTGATCACTTATAAAAAGCAACTCTCTTCTATGACAGATTGAGTTGATTGTGAATTTTATTTCTCACAAAACTGTTACTGCGAGCAATTATTGCGATATTGTTAATACTTTATGTTGTTTTTTTTATTCACTTCCTACGAGGCTGCAAGCAACCACTATTAAGTTGGGTGTTGCTAGAAAACAAAGAACAGTGTTAAAGAACAAGGAAACGGTTGACAGAAGACTTGAAAAGTTGTAGGTTGTATGAGTCAAGAAAATAGAAAGACAGGAGAGAGTTTGATGTGCAAGGAAAAAACCTAGACAAATAAAGATTTTAAGAACATGAAGGGACAGATACAGTAAAGGAATGCAACTTGCTAAATGCTAAACAATGCTAACAACTCAACCTAGAAAGAGTTTTGGTTGATGGAATTAAAAATGATAACTTGTTTGAACAGCAGCTATGATATAGCAGTGTTTATAGAAAAGAGAAAAAAAAATTAAACCTAACAAAAAACAAGGGGGATGGGATGGAAATAAAAGGGCAGAGAGGGTGGTGGTAATTTTAGTCCAGATCTATAAATATATAAATAATAAATGTCCCCCCCCCCTTTATTAGGGACATGAGAGTATGACGATTGGTGAATGGCTCTATGTTTACAATGCATTTTTGAACCTTGTCTTGAAGAGAAATGGCATCAGAAGAACCAGCCTAAAAATGACAGCGCACAGTGACTTCTTGATGCCCGGGGTATATTATTAAAAAATTAACTGGATGTCCCCCCCCCCTTCCAACTTCCAAAATAAAAAAAATTAGGCTATTATTTCTAGTATTCACTTAAATATTTTAAAAGTTCTGTATTTAAGACAGAAACAAATCACAAATCAAACAATTAAACACAAAGAAAAAAAACATTTCTTGATTTGGCATCAAGTTTTTCTGATGACCAAAACTTTACAAGCTTTTCTAGTAGCAAAGTTGAAAGTTAAAACATTGTAATTAACTTTTTTCGCAAGATCCATTTTGATTGATAGGATAAGACAGTCGTTAAGATGATTCTGTCCCATGATAGCTCTTAAAGAGTTCTTGATGAGAGCTAACTTGCTTAAAGATCCCTCTCCTTCAGCCACAGATACTGGCAAAGTAAGAAAGATACAAAAATAAATGCATATCTGGGAGAAATTTTCTTCAAATCTCCTTTGCATAAATAATATTCAGAAGATCTAAGGGCCAATAATTTGTCAATAAATGGCGGCAAAAGACAAAATGTGGCAAAACTCATCAATAAAATCGTCTTCACTAAGATCATTTGGATACAGTAATACGAGATCTTTAACTTTAGAATCTAGGCTGTTTGTTAAGTCCTAATTGATTTCAGGCATAGACCAGATGAAGGAAAATAACCTACATTGCTGTTTCAGAGCTTGAAATCTTTCTGTAATCTTATGGATGAAGGTAACAAAGTAAACAATTTTCATTTCTTTATTGGATGTTTTTAATTTTTTATTTGGCATACTGATAATTTTTTTTTTGTCATCTGATGATGCCCCATAAATGTAGTGCCAGGGGAAAACCGACTCAAATATAGTAGGGATGAATAAGAGACTTGTAGAAGTAGAGAATGGAATCAAGTGTAAGAAAATGGTAAACATGATAAAAAGATGCAAATTTAGCAGATGCTTACTTTGCATTTGCATGGATTGTATATATGGTTTCCATGTAAAGTTCGGTGTGAATAATGTTCCAAAAAGGGGTAAAGTAAAGGGTTTAGTGAGAGGGTTGTCATTCATCATATAGGAATTTCAATAATATTGTGATATTTGTTTGCTGTAAATAACTGAATTTTGTTGAATTTAAAATTCACAAGTTACTCTAAGCTCTAAGCTATTTCAGAAGAGAGTTAGTACTTAAGTTCAGTTGCTGGTTCTGTGCAATCAAAAAATGAAAACATTTTGTCATGATATTAGTATCAAGTTAAGTTGTCTGCAAATAGAGCAAGTTGACTGCAAAAGAGTTACCTTAGATGTAATATTATCAGGAAAATCATTAATGTATATAAGAAACAATACAGGATCGAGGATAGAACCTTGTGGTACCCCAGAAGTTACTAATGAAGAAGAGTGTTGGCTTTCAAAGATGATTTTAATACTTTGGTTAAAAAGATTTTTCACAGAAACTTTTACTGATACACCATATGATGCAATCTTATTGAGAAGACTTTATTGAAAGTTTTTGATATGTTACAAGAACAAGAAGCTTAAGAAGCTTTGCCACCTCTATCTAATGCACAGTTAAATAATTTAGTTACAACAGTTAGCAAAAAAAGATTTCTTTTTGTATTAACATTCACTAATGACTTCTAATAAAAACTATATCAGGGCTTAATTGAACTTTTTATAAAGTCCCGGACAAAATGTCTGATAGAAACTTGTTTGGGTTGGGCAGTGTTTAATCAAATTTTTTAAATAAAATTTGAAAACAAACTATTTTTGAAAACAAAATATTTTTACACATTCATATTTGTTTATTTAAAAAGAGCACAGGAAAAAGTCTTTAAATATGTAGAGTGAAAAAGTACTGCAGCTGGGTTTTGACTGGTTTGATTAGACTAGCTACAAGCATATCTGGGTTTCACAGAACCGAATTATGCAATGGAAATCACTGTCATTCAGTATATTTAATGTTAGTCTAATGACTTGTCAGTGTATATTGTATTTTTAAAACCAAAAAGGTATATATTCGGCTTTCATGCAATTATTTTTATCTTTAATTGAGACAATGAGAAGGTATTGTAGTAATATAATATATTAGTCTAAAAAAAAATTATTTTAAATCGTTGTGTAAAATATAAATCAATTATCTAAAAATAGACTTTCTGGCTCAGAAACATTCCACAGAGGTTATTTTGTCATAATGTTGTTCATCTTTACTACTCTCATTGCTTAACGAACTTATCTTTTCTATATTTTTTGCAACATTGTTGTGTTAGACAACGATTTTGCGTAAGTCCCATTTTTCAATTGCTGGCATAACTATTAGAGCATGTTCTAATCTTTGATTAGACAAGGAACATCTAAAGTCATTTTTAACTAGTTTTAACTTGTAAATCATTTTTTCTAGCTTAGAATTACACTCTGGAATGGTGAAAAGTAATTCATTATTACCAATACGTCTTTTCAATTCTTACACCATAAAAAGGAGAATATCCATGTGCACAAATATGTCGATGTTATTAGGTAAATATCAATATGGGCATGCTCTAACAGAGAGTATCATTGACTTAACACATCTAGCGTATTTATGTCAGCACATTTTAAAGGTATTTCAAAATGGTGTAACAAATAAGTAATGGCGTCATATGCAAACTCATTGTTATTAACAATTACAGTTTCTGCTACTATTTGCTGATCCCATCCTTTACAATTTCAATTTTTTGGAAAAACTTTTGATGTTTGCTTGCTTTCTGCTTTTTTCTTCTAAGCAAGCTATAATGCAACTTTTCACAGGTTTATAAAACTCTCTTTTTTTCAATTTAGCGATATTAAGTGACCAGTCGTAATTTTTCAGCTTGACAGTTTGTTAAATAATATCTTCAATTCTTATCAGTAACTTTTGAAATCAAAGATTGTATGTGGGAGTTTTTAAAATTATTATTTTTAATCATTTTAAAAACTCCCACATACAATCTAAACCTTGTTTTCGACAGGATATACATGGTATTAATTATGTCAATTTTATTACTTTCCATAGAAATAGATAACTCTGATGCAATTGCCAGTAAGTCAATTCACATACTTGTTTTGAATAAGCAATAAGTTTTGAATTTAATATTCTTAAAAGAAGCTGTTAAAGAACAGCCATTAACACTACAACTACAAGGCTCACTTTAATATGCATTAAATGCTTCCATTACCAACAAATTTTATAAGTTTTTCTAATAGCTTACATTAAGTTTAAGTTTATCAACTTTTTATCAATGACTAATGTTTTTATTTTATAAAATTCATAATCTCATTGGTCAAAAGTCCGATTACTTTGTAAATTTATCTGACAATTCAAGGTTTTAGCTGGACAATGTCTGATGTCTGATCGTAAAACTGAGCCCTGCTGTATATAGAATCGATTGTAAAAATTAGCATCTGCTAAGGTTGATTCTCTTTATTGTGCTCATATTTTTACGCCTGATTTTATTTTCTAGTTCTATTTAATAAGACGCTCATTCAATATTCATTCATTCAGCAAAGTTGCATCTTTTTAACTTACATTAAAACTGTTCTTTTGCGCTTAAAAAAGTTTTAACTAATTTTTTTCTGTGAACATCAATGCTCCTGTCTTAATGTTTTCCTGATACTTACAATTTTTTAAGTTTTTTGTCAATCGCTCTCATGCTCTTTTTTTTTTTGTTAACTTCTAACTTTATGTGCAGCCTTGTAAAAAGTGGATTTATTATAATTATTATTTTACTTTGTCACCATTAACACCATATCCAGCAAATTTTACAGTCTTCAGTGTGGTACACTTTTGAATTCCTTACCAAAGTCTAGAAATATAATGTCAACGTGGATATTATTGTCAAATGTTTTATTGACAAGATCTAATGTTAATTAATTTGTGTCTTAATAAAAAAATTTAAATGAAAATATTCTTATAAAACTGATGACAATAATTTTATCAACAACATTTTATCAATCAATTCAATAACATGGTTTTGTGAATAACTTTATTCACAAAACCATGTTATTGAATTGATTGATAAAATGTTGTTGATAAAATTATTGTCATCAGTTTTATAAGAATATTTTCATTTAAATTTTTTTATTTAAGAAATTTCTTATTAATTTGGAAATAATGGAAACGACAGAAAGAAATAAAGAATTATTATTTTTGCAAGATCAAGGTAAGTAATATTTTAAAATTATAATATATATAAATAGCTTTCAAGTAAAAGTACTAAAAACATATAATTATAAAATGAATAACATTTGCGAATTAACATAAGTTCCTATATTTGATGAAGCATTTTACATTATAAAATGCAGTCCTTGTATGTATACAGTTTTGTCTGTAAAAATTAATTGATTATTAAATTTAGATTTAAAAATAATTAAAAGTTACTTAAAATAAATAGCAAAATAAGTATGTGAATTCGATCATTACAAGTTGTTTTTTTAATTTTTTATTCTGATTCACTCCAAACAAGGTTGCAAGAAACCACTATTAAGTTGGGAGTTACTAGAAAAAGAATAGAGTTAAAGAGCAAGGAAGCGGTTGACAAAAGATTTAAAAAGTTGTAGGTTTTATGATTCAGGAAAATATGATGATCGAAGAGAGTTCCAAATGGTTGAAGTGCAGGGAAAAAAAAATAGATAAATGAAAATTTTTACAGCATGCAGGGACAGATACAGCAAAGAATGAGACTTTATTAAATGACGAGTCTAGCGAGAATGAGTTGATGGAACTTGAGATGATAGCTCCTTTAAATTGTGACCATGATAGTATTTGTAGAAAAGAAAAAGAGATGCAACTTTACAATAATGGAAAAGAGGCTCAAGCTTACAAGCCACTGCAAACCCCAATATGTTACAGAAGTGAGATCAGATTCAAGATTTGCTGCCTGTTCTAAACAAACAAAAAGGGAAAAGACTTTCTGTCAAGACAGGAGTATAAAGTTAAGTCATAAGCAAAAAGAGATGTAAGGTTGATGTAAGGTTGGTAAAAAATAAGAAACTTCTAGTACTAGCCCATTTTCTTGGTTTCATATAAAAACAACAATTTGTAATTCACTATTTAAAATCATTTTTTTAAGAAAATTGTTTAGAAAATACAAATTATTTAGAAAATTCCATGTGCTACCAATGGGTGGAAATAATTGTTGTATTACTATTCAACAATATCATTTTAATATGAAATTTAGATATTTCTTGGATACAAAAAAATCATTTTTTAAAGATTTAAGTAAAATATGTATACAATTGAATTTAGTTAATTGTTTTAAAACACTCAATAAATTTTTTAAAGAAAAAACTATTCCTTCAAAGGTTTTGTTTATAATGACATTATATTTAATTTATTTTATAAAATTCCCTCCAGACTAAAAAATCATTTCTATAATTTTCAACATGATTACACTGATTTTGCACAGCACACGATTATGTGCTGTGCAACACACTGGCCATGTGCTGTGCAACACTGATCTTTTTTATGATAGATTTTTGCACAAGCACATGCTGATCATAATTTTTTTTTTAATTAACAAAATTATAACAATGCTTATATCAATGAAATAATAATTAAAAAACAACACTAAAATTAGATTATTTTACTTGATTTTCACAATCAAGAAATAGCTTTTTCATCATTTTATCAATTTTTTACTTTGATTAAACTAATACTCATAACTTTACTGGTAAGTTTCTTAAAATCTGGTTTCAAACTTGTAGTTGCTGTTCTAAGTAACTCAGACAAATGCTCCCTGGTTAGATTTGCACGATACTTTGATTTGACAAATTTCATAGTAAAGAATAAAGATTTATATGTATACGTTGAACCGAAAATTGAAATGAATTTTATGGCTATCTTTTTTAGTTGAGGATACTTAACCTCGGGAACTATCTCCCAAAATTCCATAAAAGTTATTGTTAAACAATAACTAACTAACTGTAAACTAACTGTTAAACTAACTAACTGTTAAACAGTTTAATGCAGTATAAGTAGATTTTGATCTTCTTGGAGATCTAATAGTTCCATTACAAATTGAGATATATCTTCAAGCATTTTTTCAGGAATTGGACAGCCATTACTAATAAAAAGGATTTACTAAAAATCCTAAAGAAAATTTTAGTTCATGCAAATCTTTAAACCTTTTTTGAAAGTCTTTTTGTAAATCCTTTAGTTTGTCCAAGTATGAATCAATCTTATCATCATCATACTGAATTGAAAAATTAGAAGTAATCATCTTCTTCATTTGAGGAAAATGATTAAATTTTTTCAAGCTAAGATCTTTCTGAAAAAGAATAATTTTTTTTTGAAAACTAAATATTGTTTGTGCAAGATCAGATATTTTTTTTTCTTTTCCTTGAAGAAACAAATTCAGACTTTTTAAATGTTGCATTATATCAGTCAAAAACAAAAGATCTCGCACAAAGTTTATATCGTCTAGGATTTCAAACGTCTTTTCTTTTTCAACCAAAAATTATTTAATTGGCTCTAATAGTTCTACAAATCTATAATAAACATCACTACTTGAAAACCATCTTACAGAAAAGAAAAATGACACGTCACTTGGCTTGTCAGCAAGATCCAATTCATTTATAAAGTTTCTAAACTGTCTGTGATTTTTTGCATTTGCTCGAATATAATTTACAATTTTAAAAACAGATTTAAAAACAATCGGAAAGTTAAAATGTTTTGCAGCTAAATGTTCTCGATGAACAACACAATAAATTGGGATAAATTCTGGATACTTAGGGTCACTTTTTAATAAGCCGATAAGTCCGAAATGTTTTCCAGCCATTGCTGATGCACCATTTGTAGCAACACTAACAAGCTTGTTTATAGGTACATTAGCTTTAAGCAGAGCTTTGTCAAGGGCTTCCTTGATATCAGCTCCACGAGTTGTGTCTTTTAACTCAACCAAATCTAGTAACTCTTCTTTTACAATTACGTCTGAAGTCACATATCTAACAAATACAGCCATTTGTTAGATATGTGACAATGCTGTTCAACATCAATACTAATCTCAAATACTCTTCTTTCGGTTGTATGTCGAGAAATAGAAATTTGTGATACTAATCTTTGGATTTTGCTATTACTAGGATCTAAAACCGACAGGACATCTGAAATGTTTTGCTTTACAAATTCTCCATCGGTATAAGGATGTTTACCTCTGGCAATATTCCATGCTATAACAAAACTTGCTTCTGTTATATTAATCGATTCTTGGCTGTAAGATGAAATATTTAGTTGTTGATTTTTACTTTTTGTTTTGAGCAATTCAATTTTATTCTTTCTGTAATTTAAACTTAACGGATATTCTTCAGAAAATTGTTTAAGTTTTGTTTCATAATGATGTTTAACATTACATGTCTTGTTATGAGCAAGTTCTATATTTCAAATTAAACACATAGGTTTATTGTTTCTTTCAATAAATGCATATTTTTTTGTCCAATCATTATGAAATATTCTGTCTTTGTCTTTAATTTTTCTTTTCCTCCTTATTTTGCGAAGCAAACTAGTGTTTACTTTTACTTTATCCATTTTTGCAAGTTTTATGACAATAAGAATGATGGAAATAGTTATATGGAAATATATTAGCATATAACAATTTGGAAAAAAGCCGTATGCGGCTCACGAGCTGCCATAACATTCCAAGAGACGCATGCGGCTTGCGAGCCGCCATTTGGCCATCCCTGGTGTTGAACAAGGGCCAGTTGGTTGTCCAAGGTTATCCAAGGAAGACAAAGGTTGTCCTGGAAACCTTGAGGTATCCCAGAAGTTACTTGAAATGAAGAAAAGCAGGTAAACAAGACTCAGTCAAGCACTTATTAAATAGTTTAGAGAGTATTGAAGAGAGAACAATTTTGTAAGACTATGACAGGAATGTTGTCTAGACCACAAGCTGTAAAAGAGTTTAATTTATACTTTAGCAACAGAAGCTGGGGTAATTTGAATATCTAACAGCGAGTTAACCTGTTTAATTGGAATGGGAGAAAAAGAATGGCCATGAAGTTCAAGAGTCAAATAAGAAAAAAGGTTCTTTACAAATAGTTCTGCCTTGTCTTTGGGAGAGGTAATAAGATTAGTTCCATGAATGAGAAATGGAATGTTAGACATACCCTTGTTAATGACGCTGTTGAAGATTTTCCAAAAGTCTGTAGAGCCTAACTTCTGAGATAAGACATGAGATTTAATGAAATGAGAATAATTTATTGCAAGAAGTTTATGTAAAAGCACCTATTTATATCAATTTCTTGCAATAATAAATAGCTGCTTGTTCTCAAGAGAATTGTTTTGAAAAAGATAATTATGATTACATATAGCAGCTGCACAAAAGGTGAAAACCAAGGAGTAGAATGAGGCTAAACTTGTAACCAATGATAAGGAATAAAAGCTTCCATTCTTGCCTGAATCCAAGAGGTTATGTAGGAGGCGCATTTATCAGTGGAGATAGTGAAGATGTCAGCTCAAGGACTGTAACGAAAATCACAAAAAGAATCCCAGACAGCTTTAGGGTAGTAGTAAGTAGTGCAATGATAAGGTGAGTCCGAAAAGAAAGTACAAGATAAAAGATTTTAGGAAGTCAAAAGAGAACAAGGAGAAACTGAACATAAGCTAGGATCATAAATCCGTTCATAAATCAAGGAATGAAGGTAAATGATTAGGGTTGTCAGGGAAACAAGTCATAAAGTTAACTATTTGAGTAAAAGATTGAGAAATGCAAGATTTATAGGCTTTAGTGCCAGCAGGATCAGTTGCATTATAGCCAAGCCATTCAGTTTGATGTGCATTAAAGTCACCAATAGCAACAATATTGGCAGAGGGGTAAAGAAAGATATGGATATCTAAAAGAGTGCTGTCACTGGAAGAAGGAGAATGATAAAAAACAAAAAGAAAGGTGATAGAGTGAAGAGGTGCTAGTTCCGGCTGAGTCCCCCATTCCGGGTATCCAGAAGAAAATGCCAGGTTCGATTTCCGGTACCCGACATCGGGTCCATTTTAAAAAGTTGTAATAAAGGCTTGTGAAATCTCTAGCAATAAATTGTTTTCACAAAATTTATTTGCTTTATTTGCGTTAATCAAGTTTGCTATAATATATCAATTTTCTTCTTCATCAACAATTATATTTACTCAAGGTCATATTATGTAATTCAAATTTGTAAACTAAAATGTAAACTTGATTTCTGTAAATATTCTTTTTCCCTCAGGGTTGGTGATATTTGGAATATTTTGCCATCTGATTTTACTAATGCCGAAAACATCAAGTGCTTTAAAATTAAAATTAACTCTATCAACTTCGAAATCAGGTTCCTTTTCACAATATATTCTAATTATTTTGCAAAAATAAATTTTAAAAAGTATTTTAAGTGAGATGCATCAATGTTGAGTAAATAGGTTTTTTTAATTTTTAACTCCATAACACTCTTAGGCTTACATCAAGAAGTTTATTGGTTGAGGTTTAAACTAAAAGCAATCCTGTTATTAATATTTCGACACAGTTTAAAGTACTACTTAAATAAATAGTTACAACACTTAAGGTTAATGTTTATTAACAAATTCTTTTAAGATACCTGGTGCCGGGTACTACAACAAAATGAATGATTCTGGGTTAACCAGGAAAATAGCTGAATTATTGGGTCCCTAGGTCTAAACCAGGTACCTGACATATCACTATTTCACAACTGGTTTCATGCTGTTACAATCATCAGGTGAAACACAAATATAGTTTGCTTGTTTAAAAATTTTATACAATTAAAATTATACAGAAAAAACTTATACGGAAAAACTTTTTTTATTGTTACAACCGCGTGTATCTAATCTTCAGGTTAGTGGTTGCTTAATAAAAATTTATTTTCGTGATGACACTTGGAAATTAACTCTGTTTTTTTATTAAGTAGCTCTTTTCGTTAACTCTTCAGCATTTTTATAAAGTAAAATGATCAGTTTTTTATATAAAATTTTTTTTGTTGTATTGTTGTAGGCGAGGGCTTTTTTTAGGATAGACCAAGTTAATTCTGGTGTTTCTTTCAGTTTTTCCCTAGTTTCCCATATATGTTTTGAGAGAGTAGTTACATTTGAAAGTTTTTTATCTGTAAATGATTGCTTGTGGTTTGCATACCTCTTTTTCCACACTCCTTCTGATAAACCAATGTATGATTTGCTGGGTGTGTTTGGGGAAGATGTTTGTAAATGATGTTTGTTGCTCTACAATTTTTATTCCGCGGGCTGATTTCTTTTTGTTTGCAATTGCAAGGGAGATTTTCAGTGGTGTTAATTAAATTTATTTTTTTGTTGTGACTTTTTATGATTTTTGAAATGTTGTTTGAGAAGCTGTTGCTAACTTTTGTAGTGTTTTGATTGAATAGTTTATGCAATGGATTTGAAGGTGGGAAATGTTTATCTATTAATTGCAAAAAGATTTGGCCAACATTGGTGGAGGTGCTTTTATTGTAGGGTGGGTTAAACCAAATTATATTCCTTTTAAAAGATAGAAATGTGTGAAAATTCACAGTAGTTGAGACATTTATGATTTTCTGTAATTTATTTTTTGATATAAATTGAAGTTTTATTAATTTGATCATTCATTTGTCTTTATAGATAAAGGAGTGCTGCTACATTGACTGAAAAATAGAATATGCCAGGCTTGTTGTTACATCAACTAATATATAGGTAGAACATGCAAAGAGTGCTGCTACATCAACTGAGGGTTTGGTTTGGCCTATTATGTAAATTATGTTAGTGTATTCTACAAATTAGGTGCTTGATATTCTTTAAGAACAGAGCAATAAAAAATAAGTAAAAACGCTCATCTAAATTTTTATTCAACCGGGTATTTCTCTTGTAGGTTCATCAGGAAGAATGTCTAATTGAAAATTCAAATTATAGATTAAAATATTTCACAAGAAGTTGAGAGTTATTATAATTAATTATATAATAACTGTAGTTATTTTTCAACCAGGAAGTTACATTAACTACATTAAATTAAAAAATGCAAATGAATTCAAAAAAATTCTTTAGAATTAGGATCATATTGTTTTACAATTAAAAAAAAAATTTTTTTTAAAGGTATTTGTTCTCATGCCTGCATTTAAAAATTAATTCAGATTTTTTGTTTAATAAATTTTTTTGATTTATATGGGTAATAATTTCAAATTTTTTTTGCAAATGTAGCATACATTTTTTGGAATATTTATTATAGGTTAGCACAGTTTTTAGAATAGACCAGTTTAATTAAAAATTAATGTTTTTTTTTTGTAGTTGCTAAAAATACTTTGACAACATAGTCTCTTTTGCATATTTTTTATTTTGAAAAGATTGTTTTAGGTTGGCATGTTTTTTTCATTTGCTGATATGCTTATATATTGTTTGTCAGGATTATTTTGTGAGGAAACAATGCGTTTGTAAATAATATTTTTAAATAAGCATTTGTCATTCATAAGGCATTCAATTTTTTGTTTGCAATTACAATTTTCAGTATTTTTTTCTTCGAGAAATTCATTTTTATTTAAATATCTCAAATAAAGTTAAAGAAAACTATTATTATTTTCAATATTGAACAATTTTTTATTAAAAAAAATTTTTAAACAGATATAAAATAAAAACCTCTCCAAAAATAACCAAAAAAAATTCCAGTTGCTAAAGTTTCTGCTAACCCTATCTTATTTTTTTTAATTAACAAGTGTTTATTAAATTCTTACATTAATATAATTATAACTTTGAATTTATAAACTATTATATTTAAATTGTTTGCATATCAATTTTAGCATGAGTTTAAAGTTCTTACAAACATAGCCCATGCATTGCATAAAAATATAATTTTGCAGCAATACTAATTTGATAATTAACTTTGGCTAAAGCTTGATATCTCAACATCTTGTTTATGTTTTTTTAGTAACTCGACTGTCATCTGTTTTGAAGTCATACCAAACAAAGTATCCTCCGATTTCTGATGTAAAGGTATGGTTTTTTTTTGTAGTTAACGATATTCAATATATATATATATATATATATATATATATATATATATATATATATATATATATATATATATATATATATATATATATATATATATATATATATATATATATATATATTATTCAATTTTATTTATTAAATTATTTTGTTTTTAATTAGTTTTCAATTTTTTCAAGTGATTTTTTGAGTAAGTGAAATTTAGCAGTGATATTTAAGTCAACGTTAAGTAAAATTAGAAGTAAAATTAATTGACTTTATTAATGTGAATGAAAACTGAAATTATTTATTCTTACAGAATGAAAATTATTTAATTCGAAAGTAAAGTTTAACAAAAAAATTTTTTTTGACAATTTATTTACACTTCCTTTATTATTGATGCACATGTCTGACCATCAATCTGGCCACCTGCTCTGCTGGCTTGTTTGCTATGCTTTTATAACAAAAGATTAAATATTTAAAGATACTAAATAGTTAAAAATCCATCAATAAAAAAATGAGTTTATTAAGGTTGTTGGCTGGTAGGAAATGTAAGAGATATATGGAAACTTTTTATTTACAATAAAAAAGCCGACACATCCACATGATTAGTTCAGGACAAGAATAATGTGGGCATGTGTGGCACAACTCTTGCCAAAAAAAAATTAAGTAACTTGGTAATGCATATTCAGAGAACACATAAAGAGACACAAAATTTACATTAAAGAAAAGAAAAAGCAAGATGCAAAAAAAACAATTTTTAAATGATTTTACATCTTCCCGAAATAGTGGAAAAACAAAGATCCAGACAATAGGAGAGTGCTTTGAACGCTGAATTACCGAGTGGCCAACGGAATCAAGTGAACATCGACTGCGTGATGATAGCATGATTGAAATGATTGTCAATACCAGCTACCCACTGGCAATGCTAGATGAGCCGTAATTTTGAAAGATGATAAAAACCTTGGACCCAAAATTTAAATTGCCAGGTAATTAACAACTTAATTTGTAAAATATTGTATTTTAAATTCAATAATACTTAACAATTTTTGAATGTAATAAACTAGCTTATAAAAGTGCATAGAAATTTCCAGTGGCCAAATTTTTAATACTTTAGGGTAAGCTAAATTTTATATAGTGCAGTGGATTGCCTAAAATAAATATACTATTATCAGTGTGTCAAAAGGGTGAAATAACCTTAAAAACCCAAAATAAAAGAAATAATACAAAACAATTTACAATTAAATGTAGCCAATATTAGTAACCAAAATTATACAACCATTATTACTGATAACCAATATTAATAACCAAAAATAACCATGAAGTTAATATTTTATGGTTATTTTAAATTATTTTAGGTTAACTATTATTTTTCGTAAAATTACCGGAAATTTATAGAAAATTACCGAAATTTAAAGCAAAGTTAAAAAGTAAATTCTAGCAAATTTACATTAACAGTAATTTAGCAAAAATTATATATTTATTTCAACTTTAACTCACATATTTACCCATAATTATAGTAATTACAACACTAAGTGCTATAATTTTAACTTGAATTTAACTTGAATGGTATAATTTTAACTTGAAAGAGTCTGCAACACTGAACAAGCAGATAAACAAATATTCATCTACAATTTGCACGACTGACTTGTTGATTTGTGCACTCAAAGTAACAGTTTGTCTCGATGGTTGGACAAAGAAGGGTCTCGCAGCATCCTTCCTTGGAATATCTGCATGTTTCTATGACACCACCATTGATCAAACATGACATGTTTTCCTAATTTGACAGCACTCCAACATCTACACATGGGTGAGATGCTTGCAGAACGTTTAAAAAAATGTCTTGACCATTGGGGTATTAGAGAAGATCAAGTTATGTTGATTGCTTCAGACAATGGTTCTATACTACAAAAACAAAAATTGTTAAAATTGTTATATATATGTCTATAAAATTGTTTTTTTTGCATCTTGCTTTGCTATCTATATATATATATATATATATATATATATATATATATATATATATATATATATATATATATATATATATATATATATATATATATATATATATATATATATATATATATATATATATATTATTATTATTATTATTATTATTATTATTATTATTATTTATGTTATCAGTACATACAAACTATTTTTGGGATTTTAAAATTCACAAAATTGCTGTCTTATTTTAATTAACAAAATGAAAGTAGCATTAAATTGAAAGAAGTACTTTAGTCATTATCATTGAAAAACAAGACAGGATATATAGTAAAGGCTATATTCTATATTCATATCTATATTCTATATTTATATTCATCCTGTCTTTTAAATCATATCAATAAAGCATGGGAAAAGGGGCATTGCAAAAACAATGACAATTGACAATTTAAACAACACGACGACAATTATCAGTTATTGTATTTGTTATAACCAATGCCCGATCCCTTTCACAGGTTCTGTCATCTATACTTAACTTGGAATGTCGTCTGCAAGAACATCCTACCAACAAGACTTTGACAGCGAATCTTCTTAGAGATCTACGTCAAAGGTTTAAATCAACTCTACAGCCTGACTCGGCTAAGTTTAATCCACTTCCATCTTCTGCCTGTTAGATCCAATGGTTGTTGTCTTTATTCTTATGCCAAAAATAGGCACCTTACTCCATGCAGCAAAAATGTATATATAACAAGTGTTCGTGGAGATAAACCAGAATTACAAACAGCTGTTATTAATAATTATTATATATAATAAATATTACTGAATTATTAATAACCAAGACAATGTCACTGTTTCAGGTCAATTGTCAAGATATTTGGCAGACATTAAGTGCAATAACGCCCTGTCAGCCAACAGCTTGCTCTTTTGGAAACAAAACAAAAGCAAGTATAGTAAGTATGTTGGTTGAAGATTTGTTGTTCGCTTCAACATCACAGATTGTGGAAAGGATTTCACTTAGTGGAGTTTTAACTGTTAGGTGCTGTAATCGAATGAAAACATCATTAGAGATGAGGGTTTTTATGAAATTAAACAAGAATATGTGATTGAAATTCAAGCATTTCAAAAAAAATCTCATTTCAATTCAATTAAACTCTTAAATGACTGTTTTAGAATTATTGTTTGCTTATTTATGTTGTAATATATTAAGAAGTTGTTTTGAAAGTTAATATCCTGTTAAAAATTTCCAAAAAAACTTCATAGAAGTAAAATATTAACTAAATTAGAAACTAAAATAAAAAGTAGGATTGTTGAAATTAATTTTAAGAGAACTGATTTAAAACTGAAATAAGAGTTTAAAATTAGAATAAAATTAGAATTAGAAATTAAATCAACGCCACAAGAACTAAGTAGAAACTGAAATAAAAATTATATTTCAAACTTATTAAATATGACTGATCTTGAGACTAGTTTTCTACAATATTAGTTAAAATTCTTTACCTTTTTTTAATTTTGTTATCTTATGTTTATGTAAAAGTCTTATAAATAAAAATATTTTGCATATTTAAAACTAAATTTTACATCTAGCAATGCTATTAGTTAAAATATAATAAGTTAAATATTTATTCTCAAATTTATTTGATAATTATCTGTATATCTATTCATTTAATGAACATTTACATTAGTTATAAAGTTTTCATAATTGAGTGAATTTCTTTTTTAATAACTCTTTTTGTTTAAGCATATTTTTTCTTTTTTTTGTGTGTGTTTTACTTAGTCGTATATTATTTGTAAAAACAATTATTGATTTTAAGATATTTTAATGTGTTGTATGATCTAAGTAATGTATTTAAATGTTTTTTTTTTGATATTGCTGTTATGTATAAAAATGAGTTTAGTTTTTATCGATTATTACATTGTTTAATTTTTAGGATGAAGTTTGGATATACGATTCCAGGTTTTTTTATTTTTATTTTTTTGTTTTTTTTTTCATTCTGATTCACTCCTAACAAGGCTGTAAACAGCCACTATTAATTTGTGAGTTACTAGAAACCAAGGAGTAGAGTTAAAAAGCAAGGAAATTGTTGCCAGAAGACTTAAAAAGTTGGCGGTTGTATGAGTCAGAAAAACATAAAGATTGGAGAGAGTTCCAAAGGGTTAAAGTGATAGGAAAAAACTAGACGAATGAAAATTTTTAGAGCATGCAGAGACAGAAATTAAAAAGATATGATTTTGCTGAATGATGAGTCAAGCAAGAATTTTGGTTGATGGAACTAGAGATGATAGCTCCTTTGAGCAGTGACTATGATAATATTTTTAGAAAAGAGAAAAAGATGCAATTTAGCATTTTAATCAAAATAATAGCACAAGCAATTGCCTCATTACTATTAATAAACCCTAAGCCATAGGAAAGGGCTCCATTGTGGCCTTGGCAATGCACACCAAAAGTACAGGGATGATATCCATGTGCAGGGATACTATCCATGCACAACATGGCACTGTTAATACTTTATTATTTTTAGCTGATAATAGAATCAGCCTCTCTAAGAGCTACCACAGAGTTTGGACAACCTGACTACCAGCTGGAGTCAGAATCATAAAACTGAGTTTTAGAGCTGTACCCTTATTAGGAGATAATAAAATGAGTTGCCTAGTCATGAAAACAGAGGCAAGCACCCTAAACTGAAAACAATGTATTAAAAATACATCTGCGTCAGCCTAATAGATGAAAAAGGGGTGGGAGGCTGGTCATCAGATAGAATCTGTTTACCCCTTAAGTCTTTACCTAGGAGGCCTTCTACAAGACAGCAGCTGGATGCATTTAACATCTGCCCAAGATGAATATTTTTATCGAGGCACATCTCTAAACTTTTCAAATAAACAATTTATTTATTTTTTCTTTTGTGTGAAGAGTTGTTAAGAATTTTTTTTTAAACTTTTAAATGTGCACGTTTGTTGGTTGTTGTTGTAGTTGGTTAAATAAGTTTTTGCATAATATTATATTATAAAAACAAAGATAAATGATTCAAAGTATAGATATAATAAAAAAGTATAGATATAAATAAAAGTAAAGATAAATGATTCAAAGTTATTTATTCAAACTGTATTTTAGATAAACTTATCGTTATTTATTTTAGTTGAATTTCTTTAAAGTTAGGTAAAATTTTTTTAGCGCGTTTTTAAAATGTATACAAATTTTCAAAACTTATTAACAGCTGCGGTCAAGTTAAGTAAAATCGAATAGTATTTGCGTGGTCATATTATGATCTGAAATCGCACGCCTTCTTGGCCAAACCTGGTTAAGCGCCAAACCTGCCTATACAATAAAGTTTTAAAAAAATTAGTTTTATATTAAAAAAACAATTTATATAATGTTTATTTGCAAGCACTAATATACTATAATTAAAGTTTTTAAGTGCACTGAACTGCAATTTTTAAATTTTTTTTTGATTTTGTGACTTTTGTTAAAGAGCTTTTAAATTTTGCGTCTATTTATCTCATTTCAACATATTTCTTGTGTCATCCATACTGCAGCTGTTTTTCAAAACGCCTTAAGGTAAAAAAAATCAATTTTGATTTTTTTACAAAATAAGCTAGTTTAGATGTCTACAAATATTATTGAATACATATTTTCAAAGAGTTCTGAAAAAATTTATAAATATTATTCGATTTATATTGAGTTTCTCCTAATAATAATTTTTATTGCGTTTTTCTCAAAATACGTAATAAGTATATTAAGGCGTTTTGAAAAATGGCTACACAGCAGCACTTTCTGGAGTAGCAGGACTGTTTTTTCTTTATTAAGTTTCAGACAACTTTTTTTTCAAACCATATGCAGTTTATTAGGACTAATTACCTGAGCACATTAATAACATATATCTCAATCATGACACATAGGCAACAAATTTTTTTTTCCCGGTGTTTTGATGTTTTAAGAAATTTTAGCTTTTTTAAAATCTTATAAAACATGTTTATATAATCTCTATAAAACTTCAAAAGTATTTTGTATTTTAAAATAATCACAAAAAAAAAAAAAACTAAAAATTTAGCAGGACTCTAACTACGGCTTACTTGTTCAGAAGCTCAGCACGCTATCTACTTGGCCACACTGGCATGTTGCTAAAGGAAAATTTTTAAAACTTTATAATGATTTTTTTAACGGAAAAAAAAAGGTTATAGACCAAAATTAAGGAGAGCAAAGTTACAAATGTATAACAAATTTTTTTGTAGTATGTTTGTTATTATTACATAATTTTATTACATACTGTTGTTAAAGTAAAACTTTTT